TATATGTGAAAATGCCTTTGCAACGCTGAATTACGTCCGTTGTAAAATCTTAGAACCATACCTATTATTGGAGTGATATAAATTTCTGTTTTCTTTACCAAAAGCAAATGTTTTTACTACCAACATTTTATGACATGTTTCATTTCAAGTTACGAGTTTGACTCCAGTTGTCAATCATTGACGTCTGAGTCAGATATTTGGCAAGAAACACGCTTTTCAGATCCAGCGCAATTCCTTATTAGTCCTCATAAAGTAGAAGACGGGAAACTGACGAAGGAAAGCCTTCTGAAGTCTTTAACCCCATCACTCATTCTACACCTCGAGGGGCTCGCGGTTCTCCTTTTCTTGTGTCTTGGGAGCAAACGTGTAATCACAGCGTAACGCAGGCTTCATCAGCAAGTTAATTATCAGGGATTAGGAAAGTTCAGTGCGTTTAATCAAATTGATGTTGGATTAAGGTGTTTGTTCTGCTGCTCATTTTCATTAAATAACCATACAGGGTCTATACCTCAAATGGAAAGTTACTGCTGTCCAAGAGGGGCGTGGGAGACATAAAAGCCATGGTAGAAAATAATGATAAATACCCTCTAATATCTAGTTAAGTAAGTACCCGATATTAAGGATTAAAAATGTACTTGTTTTTGGCTGAAGTGACCGGCGCCTGATGAAGAAATGTAACGTTCCATTAACCTTTTCACTTCTGATATTTACCCCAGTGTTTACAAGGCTGAGACCTTTTTGGATAGTGCATGCCATGCATAGGCTGTTCTTTCTGCTATCTTGACATGTTGGCAGGCCGAGGTTGTGTTACACCTACCCCACGTTTGGGCTCAAAGTCATTCAGTGGCTCACATCTTGTTTTGATTGAATTATGGCCGACAATTGCAGCGCATCCGATAGGACGTGAGATAGATACCAACGGAGCACGTTGCCGACATAACAATGCCAGAAACTGAAAGCTTTGCCTGGCCCCCACCCTTAGATACGATACTTATACGTTGTCATGTATACAACTGCCAAAAAAAGTTGACATTATCAAATGGATTCTGGCCCTAAGGCACTACGCAAAAGATGTCTCCACTATTTGCCCTTGCTTCAAATTGCTCTTTCTATCGAATATCTCAATAAACCATAAATATGAATAGGCAGGAGGGAGCGATAAGGCATTTATTTCTTTAGCGGTGTCTTGAAAATTATGCAACGCGGGGTTGACAGGTTGCCACGGGGGTTCATTTAGAAGTTGACCAAATTTATATCAATATTGACTATTCGGACATGGCAATGGTTGTACAACCGCGGAAGAAAAGACCATAAAATTGCTTTAAGCTTAACGCAATGTGCTAAGTGTATTAAGGATATGTAAGGACTGTATTCAGTTGACAAAATCACTCTATAAAACTCTAATGGCATTAACAGATTTCGTATTGTTGATCTCGCTTGGTGGCATAGGTAAAAGGGATATCATGTCTGGGCGGTGGGGACCTGGGTTTGGTGGGAGTTTCATAATCACACGTTGATGGATATCTCAGGCGCGTGAAAGAGCATTAATATAAATGACAGGGCCTATAAAAGCAGCCCGATGTGGCATAATTACAAAGGGGGAGTACGCAAGAACTTTTTATGACACCTAGTTATCATATTAAGTTTGTCCTTGACGCTTAGAAAGATAATGCACACTTCTAGAGAATGGGGGGTGGGGCCAGGGAGCCGTGGGGTGGACGAGGCCGTTCAAATTAACATCAATGCGAAACATTAAATGTGACGAGTTTATTGTAATTAGAGTAAGAGTTTATTTTAATAAACCTGATGTTAGGAACGTACTGTGACTTATATCATCTTAGTTTGACAAACATCGACACTGATAAGAGTTTTGTGATAGACAGCTCGCCAAAATACAAGTGCAAGGCTCCGATTTGTATTAGCTACCAATGCCTGCTTCGTAATTACCGACTGTCAATCACAGGATTCGAAACCCACCCGCTTAATCCATCTAGATAATTTTGATTGACACAAATTGTTTTTAATAAGTGCGAGGCATGTTCTCTTCAATAAGTGACGACGATCAAATGACTTTTCGCTAATCGGTAAGGCTGGGAAGAAAGATAAGAGAGGTGGCAGAATACAAAAAAATCCAATTTATTTCGTAGGTCACATTTCTTGCCCTTGTGTTAGAACGTGGATCGGACCACGCAGAGTAAAGGAATATTTCTCAAACTGACTAATAAACACATGTTGTTATTTCCCTAAAACGACGAGTGTAGAAAATGTTTATTATGCCGTGTCCGAGAAAGATGAGTGCGTTGCGTTTTTGGTCCGCGTGATGCGTGCCGTTCTGTAGCTTAGGGATTAGGACAGTAAGTAGTTGCACTTGGGCCAGTTTTAAGGATGGCCTGTTGTGGACCTGATGACCAGATGTAATAATAATTACAAGAATGCAAATGATAAGTATCGATGTCCCGTCCAAGCCAACATGACGCAACATCTGCAAATTAAATCAAGATTAAACTCGGGTCAACTGAGTGCGTTTGCCACTCCGCATGAAAGCACCATAGAAAGTACTGTGAAGCATTGATCATTGCTGGTAATGGTATTGTGACGTTACGTGGGGGAAGAAACATAGTCATTCGAATGCTATCAGGAATGAATGATTTGTGAAATTATTCTACCCAAATCTGGGCTTGACCACTTCATTCTTAGAAATCATCAAAGAAGATTTTTGCTAAAAACAAAAAGAAAAAAGCCTTTGGGGGTGATCGTTCGGGTGCAAATGTAAACGCAATATTCTGATTTTTCTTGGTAACAGATATATGCAGATATGTCTGAAAGTCACAAAAATAGATACCCAGTTGCACGCACTCACGCGCAGATGTTCCTATTGAACACGTTCTGTCACAAAAAAATCTACGAGGACGCCAAATCACAGTCATATCACAACGTCGACAGTTCAATTCGTCAAAAAAATCTTGGATTTGATCCACCGCTAATTTACCACATAATTGTACTCAACAAGTCAAATTGTTTTGCTAACCGCCATTCAGAATTATACGACAAGGCTAGATGAGTTTGGAAGCAAACAACCCTCTCCTCTGACCTCAGAGGCCACGAAAACCGCAGTCATTTGCTCACGTACACGGTAGGGTCTGTGACGGTCTCCACATTACCACCACTAGGGCTCCAGACGACTAACCAAGGCAAACCATCCCTAAATCATTGACGTCCAGAGTTGCCATTTAACACGCGCCCTGCTAGAACAGGGCCCGCCACAGACAAGCACGCACACGTAATGAGATTAGATAATTAAACATGGAATGATTAGCCATGTTATTTTATCTTGAATGGTTTTATTTGAGATCAGGTTAGAATAGGGGAGAGGGGGGAGGGCTCCCAGAAAAGAATGAGATAAATGGCAAGCGACAGGCTCTTACATTTCTAAATCGTGTTATCCGCCCCCGAGACCATCGGCAAGTTTTAGTAAGCAGGCGGACTCCCTGAAAAATTACTAACTAATAGGAGAAATGGTGAAGAATCACTGATGAAGAAAAACGAACTCAAATAATGTTCTTTTAGTGTGCCTCTACAGAAGAGGGTTACTTAGTGTAGAGAAATTTGCATTACAAATCGTTCGTAAAGACCCGTGAGCGATCGAAATCATGTAATCCGCTTAAAGTTACCCAGGGGTTTTTAAACGGGCCGAGGAGTGTTTTCAAATACAAGCAATTCTCCATAAATTGGGACATTATTCTCTTTATGAGCCTAAGTGCTTAAAAGGATTCAGATACAAGGTCTGCGTTTGCTTGCTGCTATCGCTTCATACAGCTCAAGAGCTCTCATGACGGCAGTACTGTTGCGTCGTATTTTCCTTTAACACACCTCTTTAAAATAAAGCTTTTTTAGCAAATGAATAATGCACCTGGCCATCAATGGAGAAAACGAACACTTGAAGTGCGGCGAGCTCTAGCTTGCAAGAGGAACAGACTAGAAGGTGTATGTCAATCATCTTGTGACGGTCGCTGGGAAAACAAAGGTGTAATTGTACGCGACAAGTTTCTCTTCGGTTTCAGTTTACAATCCGAACAAACAAAGCATGTGTACACGCTTTCACTAAAGCTTGTATATTGACCGGCCGTACGTTAGAACACGGAAATGCGTTTTCTCAGCAAACTGCCCCATCGTGCACTAAGACAGGTACGCTAATACTCTTAAAGAGACGCACGAGGTACGCGCCCCGGGGGTCCGAGCCCCAGAGATGGTGTCCGAGGTGATGGGCGACGGCTGGTGGCACGCTCAATGCCCTGGCGTCCCATCCTAAACTAGGGTTCCCACAGGGGGTGGGCTCGGGTGCTGAGAGCGTATTATCCCGTATAGAAAACGCACTAGGATCTGGCAGTGACTTTTTTGATAGACGTGAGGGAATCTTAACTTAGCTTGTAGAAATGCCAATCAATCGACTGGTAGATTGTCCAAAAATCAGCGCGCGTTTAACTAAGGATTCTGTTGCATTTTGAACATCCTATCTGGCAAGTTGCAGGACTCCGCAAAAATGCGCGTGCACTTTCGATGTGCCAAAGGCCTCCAAGAGCAAATCACTAGATGAGCAGGCAGGTGTCTGTTAAGACATTCCGGAGAAAAGTTAAGTGCTATCGACCTCTACTGTTTTGGCAGTGAGCAAGGCAAATCTCGAAGGATATTATGCTAAAATTGATCTTTAGATGATAACAAGCCAATTTTTGGTAATGCAGTTTTAGGACATCATCAGCGTCATGAGTGCGAAACAGACAACAGCGATAACACTAACAAAACCCACTCCGGGGGCCATTCACTCGATTTATTTCCATATATTTTTTTCGTGTAAATGTGAGTAGCGTATAATTCTTCGTGCACGTGCCTACTTAAATCTTTAACACACTGTGCATAGCAATATTTGTTCTCTGTTCAATGATGCATGGCCGTGGGGCTGTACTTAACCCCACCACCTTTTGGACGAGTTCACTTTGTCCTTAAAGTGTGTGTAGGGCACGGGGAAGTGCGTGCGCATGCAGTAAGTGGTTCTCATCATTTCGGAGTCCCCAGCGAGGCGGAGCGCTTGTCAACCTGTGCCAAATTGATCAATTAACATACCACAAGGAAGCTTTCAGACCATTGGTTCCATCCTGCACCCCTAGCACTGTCAAACCAGCGGGCCTTATAAGCCGGGGCTCTTGGTGGAGGGATCAGATTGTGCATCCACGGTGCACAGAAAGGACGGACCGTCATAGATAGTCGTCTACAGTAGTATACCACATATGTAGAGATAAAACGTCGACCCTCGGTTAACTTATTGCTGCTAAGATTTTTTTGCTGTGATATATTTTTTTTCCTGCGCAAGTAATAGTTAGGCATTGTCTTATCGAAGTCTCCGCTACAATTGCACATTTTGGTAAGTGGTTCTTTTGTGCGTTTCTCCGTTATTTCTAGATTGAAATTGGGAAAGGATTCCCAGGTTTACTTAATTGTCAATTTGGCTATTTATAGTGATGTGGGTATCTTTATTTTTTAAAACGGTAATCCATGTCAGGTGTGTCACCGTACTTAAAAGCATGGCACCCGAAGTGAACGCTCAGTCGGGTGGTGGAGATAGCGGATTATATGCGGACATACCATCTCATCTTAGACTTAAAACGCGATAACACTTTTCTCTCTAATTGTTTTAGGTCTGCGAACTGAGAAGAAATGGGGGTCATCACGGTCGTTTTGGTGGTAGGAGCTATAGGCTTAAGCTGCCTTTATTGGTAAGTAAAACTTAGATTTATCTCCTTTTTGCCAAGCAGTCGTATTATGTGTAATAATGCATATATATGAATGGATCTTTTTGTTGAGGGTGAGAATTAATTACAGGACTTTTTGATCCTCTCGATGCTTTACTTTCTTGACGAGACACCTTTAAACACAATATAGGCCTCTGAAGTGACAGTCGACAGAGCAGAGCCATGTCATCTAGGTGTGATGATTTTGCCCTTCGGTTCTTAAACCGTTCATTAGGGTGGTGTCGGTTACACAATATTTTGCCACTTGTCTGTGCATCGCTCGTGTCCGAGATTTCGGTTTCTCATTCTATGCTCCACGGTGCAAACTTTTATCACTAGTGATTCAGAGTATTATATGCTATAACACGTACATGTTAGTTATATTATTTCTTTTACTTAACAGAATGATAGCATTAGCGGGTTTAAACGACTTTTTAAGACACGCGTGAATATACATAGAAACAAACAGGGAATCGATTATCCCTCTCCTACGTCCGAGGAATTAATAGGGAAGTGACCGTTGGTCATCTGGCTTATCAGCCGGGGTTTTTCCGATCAGTTACATTTATTAGCTCACCAAAGGGATGCGCCTTTAATTGGATTTTGCATGGATCCTTGTAACTAATGCACGCTAATGCACAAAAACCTTGTTACACAAATAAACTGCTTATAACTCCCCCTTGGTGTATTACCAACTAATTGGCAGGAGCTTCACGGATGGATTTGGAGATTTGGTTTCAACCCCACATTTCCAGTATCGATTCATCATTAAGACAACACTTTTTTCGATGACCTCTAAGGCAGTTCGCACGCGGGATCACTTGCACTCACGGTCTAGGTAAATAACCTGCTGAAATCGGAATTCTCTCGTACCTCGGTACGGTCCCCACGTGTCAGCGGTGCGGGGTAGGATGCACTTGGCATTCGCCGAGTGCATTTCACGCGCCCTAAATAGCGCTCCACTTCACCACAAGACACGAAAACAAACCATGGAGATTTCTAAGAGTAATGTGAAACATAAATGTTTATAATTCACTTGTCGTAATCTTTTAGGACTTAGGGCAGTCAATATGCACTGTGGATTGCTTTGATCGCTCTTATTAGCTCTAATAGGAGCATTAAACCGTTGGTCACCACCGCGCGAGATACTTAAGGCAGTTTTCCCATTGTTTCTAAGTGGTCTCGTGGAGCCATGTAAAGACAATTGACAGACCTTGATGACCACTGAACCTTCCCCTTTAGACGCCAGAAGAAAGTTTATTGCCTTTATTAAAGGCCGAGAAATAAACAACAATGACTCCATGTCCCTGATATATGGCAAGGGAGCGGGCACTGCCATCCCCCTTCCTTTTGAGATCAGAAATTAAGGACCAATTTACTCACAGCGCTTCTACCGAGTTTGGTGTTATGTAAAATGGCCCTAAGTTTCTCGCCACAATAAATGTGGTTACACACAATCAGTAAATCACCCATAAAACTTCCAAAACATCCACAGTCATTCCATTAACATTTACGGGATGAGAATATACCCGCCAACACACTCTTAAGTACTAACCAGGGACGATGAAATGGCCCAGAGCGCCCAGCATAGATACTGACATTTAGGTCTATTCTCCATTTAATCTATTGGCAAATGATTATTTTCGTCAGAAATAAACACTGCCATTTGGGAGGAAATTGAGAGAAATAGCTTAGATTTAGTGAGCCTGGCTTCCTTTTTTAGTGTAAAAATATAGATTTTTCTCCGCCTTCATGCTCCGCCTTACTCCTACTTCATTTAATTTCATTTAAAGCGTCATGACCCGATTTACTTAAATTCCCCACAAAACCAGTGCGCTGATCCAAGCAAATAAAGTAAAAACAAGAGGTCGTTAAGTAACAAATCATAATTGTAAACAGGCTTTTTTGAGTGAATTCAGCACCAGCTGATGCAAGGGCAGCACTCGTGTGTGACATGAGATTTATGAGAAGAAATGCCGATAGTGTCAACAGAATTGCCGTCATTTTTACGCACATTTGCGTTTCTGGCAGCTCCGATAGGCTTGATCAAATTAGGACGAAGCCTCTAACTAAACGAGGTACGAAGCATGAAGTCATTGTATCCACTGGCACATAATAGACCGTGATGATGCTGAACCTATGGAAAGAACTGGTTTAAATTGGAAGAAATGAATACTAAATGACTATTTTCAAGTAAAACTGATAGCCGTGTATCCCCGAGAGTAGCGGATCACGCAAATTTCAGATTCCGCAGTTGAGGAAAGTGCCAAAGTAGAAAGCAATACCACAATTTTATAAATAGTATTTTTGGTTTATTTTTACTCCCTGCGATACGAGAAATGGCAAATGTCAGAGATAAACTCATTGAATTTCAACCAGGGAATGCAATTACAAAATGTAACGATAAAAGACCAGAAAAATAATAATAACGATGAACAATAATAATAAAATAATAAGCCGCGCAAAGTGACCACGTTTGTTCTTACATTTCAACAGATGAATAGTTTTTTTCATAGTTTTGCAAACTTCCTACAAACCATTAAACCCTTGCGCAATGTTTGAAGAAACAATAGGCAGACGACTAGCGGACTGAGACGCTCTGGCGGGATCTGTCAGCGTCCCGGGAGATTTGACCATGGTTCTCTGCGGGACTTTGACAGCTGGCAACATCCCATTCAATTTTTACCCGCTCACCTCTCGCCGCCCCCTGCTTAGAGCCGAAATCATCTCCCGTGTTCGTTTTCTACTTTGGACTTAACATGAGAACTATTTCAAACTCTGACTTCTACTTTTATGCCCAGCAGGTCTTAGAGACAATTGACTTCACATTAGTATATTTTCCCTTTCAAATTAAGCCCTTTCAATCCTCACTTCCAATTTCTTAGTAAAAATAACACAACGTTTGAATACGTATACGATATTATTGTTTTTTGCTACCAGCTCAAAATGTTCTGTTATGTAATGTTTTCAGCCTTTATTTCATACGTTAACCACTTCTGGGAAACTCATTCTGTATCAGATAAAAAACATTAATTAAACAAAGTGCCAAAATTCTGAACAGCTTGATCGATGACTCTAATTACCACGGTGAGAAATGCACACACAAGCAACAGGTGATCCAAGTACCCGGCGAACAATCGACATTTTAGTTGCCCTTTTCGACCTTGCAGATTCTCAGGAGGCATTTCAGCTACTCGTTTTTCTCACATAATCACTTCTTTTGGCATTTATAACGTGGATCTTCGAAAAGAGATGCGATATGATTAATTGCGGAGCAGCGTTAAGAGCTAAACCACCTGAAACCTTTAATAAATATCTACGTCCACTGCGCCACAGCTGACTGTATGGATTATTGAGGAAGGGGTATCACCACATCAAGCGAAATTCACTACAGATTTCAGCTAACTTACGAATATTTATATATATAAGGACAATAGTTTCGCGAAAATAAAATACATTTCTTTTCAAGTCATATGGCTGCGCGGCCGTCGGAAAGATGATGAAGGTGCCCTGATGATGAAAGTGGCGATTTGTGTAAAGGGAATTTATATTGTTTTTGTGGTAAGCCAATAACAGAAAATTAGTTTTAACAAGCCAGAATGCTGTTTCTTATTCTATTTGAAAAAGAAAAGCCTAAGCTAATTAACTTAAAATGTTTTCAATTATCATTGTTGGTAATGGAAACTTGTGTTGCCTAACGTTTCACAGACGTCTTAACACTTGTACTTATCATGTTTTGTAGCCCAGAATAGCTTCATGTAAGAAATATGTAACAGTGAAAGCTTTAAAAAGCTGCTGGGGTGAAAAGTGCGCTGTTTTTTATAATTACTTGGTGTTATGGGGCATATTACAGACTCGATACTGTTTGTTCAGGTTAGACATACCCTCCCTCCTGTGAAGGGAAAACTTACACGATATATCATTTTAATCTCGTATGGTCACTTGCACGTATGCATCCCGCCTCCAAGGGTGGACACAATTTCGGCAATTCACGACCTTTAATAGTTTCCTTCCCGTACCGGAACACGATGTTATTCTTGATTTTTGAAACGAATTTTTCAAGCCAATTTTTTATTAAGTAAGAACCAAAACGTGTCGTAAATCAGGCCTTCCTTTTGTTAACCGGAATACGTTGCTTGCTTTCGGGTTGTGCGTATATTTTCAACGATAACTGAATTTCAGAGCAGAAAGGTTAGGACAACGGTATAACACACGATAAACAACACAATGGCTTTGTGTTAAAAGGCCTGGAGGAAAATATTTCTAGAAAACCATAACAAATTATCGGAATTTTATTGAATAATGATGGTACAATGTGTACCACGAAAAGCTTTCAGCGTTTTTAAAAAGGTTTGACGTGTTGTTAATCAGATCTTTGCGGTATTAAGCCAGGTTCATAGCGAAATGTCTGTTTACTTAATACTTCACTTAAAGTTCACTTACAAATCAGAGCCAGCTCCAACAAAATATCAGATTTATCTGCATAACGATACACTTGGCAAGTGAAGCTGCCTGGCTTATGTATATATTTATTGCTTATTTTTGTTCCGTTAATATTATACTTTTACTTTAATATTTAGGTATTTTACTTTGCCAAGGGCCATACCCCTATAGCTACCCAGTCCTATTCAAGAAATGACCAACGAATTGCACTGCTTGAAAATAAACAAATGTATGCGATGATCGCCAAAACTCTTTGTAAACATTGGATGCAAAGAAAGTATTTTCAAATATATTTCCTAGCAAACGGGTGCAGCTATGTAAACATGGTTAACTCCTTTATTCAAATTAAGTGCGTGTAATTATTTGATAACACTAATTAAACAATTAACAAAGAAAAGGGTTCCAAACATTCGTGTTTATTCAGTGTATTCAGTGTTTTGACGCATCACCGTGAAAGTACTAAGTTCCGATCTCTCCAAATTTAGTTCCCTGTGCTTGTCCTTCGTGCCGTGGTCTGAAAACGGCGCAAGGGGACAACACGGGGTAACTGGTAACTATTTCAGACCCTGCACCAAGCGAACCTCGCTTGCTATGGCTGCTCATCCCGAACCGGGTCCCCCCAACACCTATAGCGACCTGTTACGTTGCAACTAGCTTTGAAAACACTCTGCAAGCCTTAACTGCTTTGGTCATTGAAGAATGCACCGAGTGACACTGTAGAAGGCATGTGAGATACATAGTAGTATGCGCGCCGGCACGAAACGTTGCACTCAGATTGATAGCCGACCTTGTTACCGACGTAATGCCCCAAATTTGAGAGAAGCACAGAAAACCAAGCGTTTGATGATACCAGTTTTTGCCCTTTTTAATTTATTTCAGTTTGTCATCAGAAAGTTTTTATTTTTGTCATTCGAGGATTGATTCAAACGTCCCTCAACTGGTCATCGTTTGACTGAAGGTTTCCTACCCTCTCTTGTCCAGTTATGGTCACAGTAAAGTTTATTACAAGGTCATATAAACAAAGGTACACTGCACCGGTTGACTCTAAACTTTTCCCATCTTCGCCGGGTAATTGATAATATGCGTTGTGGTATCTACTTTGATTAGAGGAATAGGCCTAACTAGCGATCGACACGCATTGTTTTTTAGCAAGTCTCTTTTGGTCTCATTTTCACGCCGATATTCAGCACATGTTACAGCGATTAGGGAAATTTGTTTATTTCGCTTTGATGAGTTTAGCAGCAATAAGTTATCATGCATAGCAAGAACGAGTGCAAACCGCGGATTTTTACCCCCCCCCCACACACACACATACACAAACGCACATGATACGTGTTCCTGTGAACGAAAATAAAAAAAATATCAGAATTTATACCAGGCAGATATCAATACCAATGTGATTTTTTTTCATGACGTCGGTGAGCGTTTTGTCATGTTTTGATACGTGACTAAAGGAATTTGGAATGTTCAAATGAAATTGAATGAACATGAGAAGGAAGTATTACAGAAATTGACCTAATCTAAATTTAGATGATTATAACACTTGTTTCCTGGGTCGCATGCGTTCCAGTATGTGGACGCCAGATTTGCCATTTTGCTTGTTAAATTTTGAAGCATTTTTCGTGGTCAGAGGTTAAGTGAACCAATCGATGGAATCTTAACCTCTGACACTTCTGAACCATTTCGTCCGGTTCATACGTAAAACAGAACCGCGCACCCGTGTGCCCCAAATTTTCCACCAAACAGATGGCTTGATCCTTATCCACATCTATCACTTAGTACTACTAATATCAAAAAGTAGTGTCGCTGTTCAGGTGTTCCCCATAGCCCATCTGGAAAACGCATTTACCGCCACTTGCTGGCTTACAAATGCACCTTTCCATATGTACTGCGGTCAACAGGGGGAGATGTGATTGTTTTTCTCTTTGAAATCTGCCTCTTGTACGCAGCCTAACAAATGATTTCACTTGTAACCCCACACATTTATTTTGTAGTAAACAAGACCTGAATGAAACCTCGGCTAGGTTGTTTATTCTGATACCCACGGCCCTGTCTTATAACAGACGCGGTATTGCAGTTTTGCAGCGCGATCTGGTTAATTGTGTGTGTGTGCTTTAATTATCCGTAGCATCATATATTCTGTTGTCCTTATTGAACTAAATGCACCCGGAGTTGGCAGGTTTCTATGTAGTGCATAAGGAGAGCGTTCTCACCTGCTGCTGTAGGTAAGGCGAAATACCACAGCAGCACGTCTTATCCTAGTTTCTCCAACCCTCTCCATTTCTTATCATAATCATCGATACGGGCGCTTATCTTTCTTTACTCCTGGATGTGGAAACGATTATTTACTCCGTTTCCTACTTTGAATGAATCTGAGACACTAGACGGCTTTGATGTCGAGAGGTTTAAGAAAAAGTCTGACACTTGAGTCACTTCCCTCTAATGTGATCGGTTGAGAAATAATAATTTGAAGGCGCACGGGTGACAGGTTTATCGTCGGTGATCTCATTTCAAGGTATTCATTCATCATGTATGACACATTACACGAAAAAGGTGTAACTCCAAAGAGCAGTAGAGTTCAAAGTGATGCGGCAGCTTTTTGTCCGTTAATCGTCGGTAAATGCCCATAGCTGGAGCTCAAGTTTATGTCACATGGAGTAAGTTAAGAGGTGAAGACCTTGTGCATTGAGGAACGTAAACGCACAGTCGTTTGAATACGAAGTGGAGATATATTGGGAGTGCAAAGCGATTAGTGTTAATGTTGATACTTAAAGGAACCGATTGATTTAGAATTTTGAAACACCTGGCGCGCACAATGTACACCTTGATGCATTGCGTTTGGAAATAAAAGCCCATCCTAACCCATTTCCCTCACGAGAGCTATCTGCCCCTTGTAACACGCCGACACTTCCTTCCTATTTACAATAACCCCTTTTCGCGTTTAACCAAGGGGAGAAATAGTAGCGGAATTCTGAATTATTGTCTCGTTAAATACGGTTGTGTACGGTACGCACAACCTTTTGTGTGTATAGATAGGGATGCACTTGGTCGATTGCTCTGGAATGCAGATGTGTATGTAGGCGTACTGACAGAAAAACAATACTGCATTAATCCACGCACTTAATCGATATGCACTGGGGCAATAACAGTCTCCTGATGACCCATTCCACTCACGGCCCAAATAAGAAGAAGGTGATATCTTCATGACGTCATTTACTTATACCGTTTTGATTGGTCTGAAAGTTTTTTTGCCATTTGCAGCATGAATTTGATTGGATGACTTAGTGATGACGTTTATCAGCATGTGGGTATTTTTATCCTTTTAGGTACAAGAGAAAACGTAAACAGAACATCTTCAAACAGATGGGAATTAAAGGACCCGAACCTAATTTTCTGTTCGGCAATCTACATCAGTTAGGAGAAGAAAAGGTATTGAGTTATGAAATTGTTGAAAAAAATAAACAATGAAAAAAACATTCCCAGTAACCAGTTTTTGTTAAAGTACCGACATTACATCAGTCGTGCTGAGGGAGAAAAAAAGTGGTTTGCCATTTGTATTTCATTCAGTCTTTTCATTGTTATTCTTACTCTGCACTGTATTAAATCCTGCCTTTTGTTGTAAATTATGTTCTATTCGTGTCGATATTATTTAACACAGTATAGATAATAGAGATCATCTGCCATCAAACCTGCTCTTACTTGTTGCAGTTATTGTACCAAAGATATCGAGAATGGACGAAACAATACGGGAAGGTGTATGGGTAGGTCTAGATTCTCTCCCTCTCTCATTATTTTAAAAAAATCATCCCAGCGAACACTTATGGGATGAAAGTTTTAATGCAATAGTGGTAATCTATAAATTTCATTTTATGCACAATCTTCTGCCTTGTTTCATCGATATTAACAAACATTTCCACGAATCGGTTTTAGGTATTACGAAGGCTCCACCCCAGTCTTAGTAACGTCCGATCTGGAAATACTAAAGCAAGTTTTTATAAAGCAGTTCAGCAATTTTCATGGCAGAAAGGTAAGACGTACCTTCAACGTTGGTGATGTTTTTTTTTTCAACATTTTGTGAATTCTTCATGAACCAAGCAGGAAAGAAGTGTTTTTATTTCGTGAGATTCACCGATTTGACGTAATGTTAACTTGATTGTTTTTTTCGAACAGTTATTGGATATTCGTCAAACCAAACCAGGAAGATGCTTTTTTCCTTTTGAAATTTAACCTTTATGCGAGTTGCAACATGGTAACTTTTTTCGAACAGTTATTGAATATTCTAAGAACCTAACAAGGAAGAATATTCGCGTACTGATGCTTTATCGGTTTACAATACGTAAATGCAAAAAAGGTCGATTCTCAGTAATCATTTAGATTACCATTGTCAGTGTAGACTGCATAATGTTTCATGTTTTACATGTGTTATATCCGCGTCAGATATTTGCGGTCAGCATGATCACCAGATCTCAGCACATTTAACGAAATATCAATAATTCCAGTTGTTTCCCCTGCAACCGCATCCTGACACCGGGAGAGAGTGCCATATGCTGCTTACACGCGGAGACCGCTGGAAGAGACTGAGAACGATAATAAACCCAACTTTTAGTGCATCAAAAATGAAACAGGTAAATATTTAAGTCTGAAATGACTTTTCTTCGACTATGTACAATTGCTGCAACTTATTCAGTTGTGTGAAACTTCTTGACACACTGGGCTCAACCCCCGATCCCCATCAAGTTCCTAGGTGTCCACTTTTTTCCTTTTTGCTGAAAGACTACCATATTCTGTATGCATTATTGCCACTTTTATAACCCAGTTTTCTTGTTCTCACCCAATATACATTATAATATTAGTCGTTACTTGCAACAAGGCCAGTAATAGTGGAATGATTCCATTCAGACAAGGACTGCAACCTGCCGTCGCTTATGTACGTGTAAACTCCCCATCCCTACTTTTTTCATTACGTTCTTGAATCGTGTTGTATTTGTAGAACATCTCACTGGCCATGATGTCATTGGCCAGTCACTGTCCGAATAACGACATTAGGGCCTATCATTTTACTCTCAAAAATTCTGGATGCAGAAAATGAACGTGGAATGCAATCTCAACTTAGCAAATCGACGAACTTATTCAATAAAGAAACATGTATACTCTTTGAATAATGATGGTTATTCATCAAATTTTTCAATGACACATGAAACACCAGGTGTAACATTGAAGTGTTGAAAGGATAGGTATTTGTTGTTAACTGAAACCTACCGTTTATGGGGCTTAAACGCTAGACGGTCGCCAGTTATACTGTAGAAATGATATCTGTAATGGCTTCAATGACATCCGAAACTTGAGGTAAAAAGAGTTAAAAGTTAAAAAGACGCCAGATATTTTAAAGGGAGCTCGATATAATATTCTCTGATACCCGAAACTTGAACTTAAATCGTGTTAAAAGTTAATGTGACGCCAGTTATATTATGAAAATGACATATTGACTGAAAGTTTGACAGAGGTGAATAAATTAAGGTACGAATTTGACACAAGTCTGTTGGGCAGAAAAATTGTCGGGATTACAAGTTACAACATTTTGTTTTCTTTTATCTTAGGCATTTCCATCATACTCGACTGACTTATGCATTAATTAAAAGTCAAGATTTCTTTAACTCTTTTATACCCATAAAATATACCTTACATAAATATCACTTTGTCGCTGCATTAGAATTTCACAAACCATCTATGAGTTAAGAATGCAAGTCCATGGGAGTGCGAGTTGTTAAGACGCTTGAGAAATGTATCCTTATCAGGGGTATCTAAGTTTATATAGAAAGTTTAGCCTTTTAGTCTTTTTATAATTTTTTTTTTTTTTTTTTTTGGTTGTGTGTTTTTGGTGACACGTTCATATAATTCATGCTGGTACTAAGCGACATGACCTCCCAGCGTGTATTGAAAAATCAATTCTGATTGTCCTGTCAGACAACCCAAGTAACTAGAGAAGAGGGGAGACACTGTAATTCTTCAAAGAGATTTCTGTTTCCCCTTCTGTATCAAATATCTCTAACGAAAAATTTGATGACGCTTTGCGAAATAGAAATCCTTCCTAAAAATATAATTTGACACCTAGGGCTGCTTTATCTGTTTTCCAAATTGAAAGACTGGCTAGACAACAACTGCTCTCTGAATATGTTGAGTAATTGTTTAATTTGATTTTCAGATGTGTCCTTTGGTCAATAAATGTGTTGACGTATTTATGGAAAAGATTGAAGAAGAACGAACAAATACGACAGATGTTGATTTGACAAAGTAAGAAAATGCCTCACACTTTATGAATTACCTTTAGTATCACAATTTTAGTCTAAGGTTGTGCCCGTTTTTCATTCCTTAGTGTTGTTAAAAGCAAAAAATAATCAAAATGATTTTATACGTTTTTTGCACTTTTCCAGGTTAACAAAGCGTTTGACAATGGATGTGATAAGCGAGTGCGCGTTTGGTGTGGAAATACAATGCCAGCAGCAACCAAACCATCCATTTTTACAAAGATCAGCTAAATTGTTTGAAATTGCAACAGAAAGACCTTTCCTTTTGTTTACTGCCAGTGAGTTATTTTGATCATTATAAACTGAACTTGACATTCAACATACCATATGCGCCCATAAAATGAGATTATCTGACTATATAAAAGTTACAATTGCTAATACTCAACACGATATAAAGCCATAACTGCCGAGAGAGTCAGCAGGCCTTTTAATTTTTTTCCTTTAACAAAGTAAGCAACGTAGAGACAGGTATACAGTAAGCTGTTTGTTAATAATTATGTTTGTTTGCTTTTTAGTTTTGTTCCCAGAATTATCCCGGTTTTGGTGGGGGATGCACCAACTTATGGGCATGTTCCGAGAGGATGCCTTTAAATGGCTCGCTCAGCAACTAGAAGAAGTCATTAATCTCAGGCGAAAAGATCAAAATGTAAGTACATGTGCTGGCACCGATTTTCTAGATCGTGTTTCAAATATTGCTGTAAATAATATAAACTTACGTAATGCTGACACGTAAAACGTAAGCCGATCGTTATCTTTTATATACTTGAATTATGTTTTCTTTTACACAAAACAGCATCGTCGCGTCGATCTCCTGCAACTAATGATCGATGCAGAGAAGTATCCAATTCACGAACTGCGCACATCTCAACTCACCATGACGTCAGACCAGAGTTCTTCCACTGAAGATAAGCGCAGCAGAAGTAGCTCTTCAGACTTCAATTGTAACCGTTACAGCACTCCCAACGGCTACACAAATGGACACGTCAATGGCTACGTCAGTGAACATCAGACCCTAGCCAATGGCCATACGAATGGACATCTTAATGGGCATCTGAACGGGGCCTCAAATGGACATAAAAATGGCCTTAATGGATATAAAAATGGTGCCAGCAATGGTCACGTGAATGGTATCACCAATGGTCACGTGAGTGGCGTCAATAATGGTCACGTGAACGGCACTACTACTAGTTTGAACGCATCCACAAATGGAATCAACGAAGAAAGGGGCCATCCTAAAAATGGCGTCACGACGGGTCCCCATAGCAACGTAAATTTTGATTTGAGTGATGAAGTTTTTGACGAAAAAAAGCCAACGAAATCAGGACTCACAAAAGAGGTAAATCTAGTTCTTCTGTTTGTTGTCCACTTTGCGATATGCATGTGTACAATTCAATATATGAAGCCACCTTACTTTAAAAATGGAAAAAGCTGTCATCCAAAAATGGCTAAGACTGTTTCTTTTAATTTTGCAGGAAATAAAGAACCAAAGCGTGCTATTCCTATTAGCTGGTTATGAAACTTCGAATACCCTGATGCAGTTTCTGCTGTACGAACTAGCAATGAACCCGTCAATACAAGACAAATTGCTGGCAGAAATTGACGAACAGTATGAAGAAAATGTGAGTACATTTTTATTTATTAGTTAAACTTTGTTTAACAGGTTGTATTGGGATATATCACCACCATCTGATTTATAATGTTGTATACAAATAATGTAAATGCTTTCCCATCCTTCAGGATGTAGGAGAAATGTTAATTCTTCCTAACATATTTCATTGAAGCAATTATTTTCCTCTTAAATCGCATACTATTTCCTTTCTCCTAAAAAAATTAATGTGAACTTCAGCGTGTGCACTTATGTTGTGTTCGTAGTCCAGTTACAGTTTTGTCAGCTTCAAGCAATACCCATAGTAGTAATGGGTCTAAATTGTATAGAAGAAAATCGGTTATTGAGGGAAGGATACATTTTTGGTCCAGAATGAAAATGAAAACATGCCATTTTATATCTATCAGTTTCAGATAAACTCGAGTGAGTTTGAACGTTCTTCCCTTGCTTTATGTCGAAAACACATCAGATATGAAATTGCCTTTGAATAACGAGTGAAAATAAAATCCGGACAATCAGTACTCAAGTAGACATCTTTTATAATCTGTTGTTCTGTTTTCAGGAAGTGCCAACATACGAGACCGTAACTCGTTTAATTTACCTAGATATGGTGATCTCTGAGACTTCAAGGTTATATCCCATCTCAGCACTGTAAGTGTTTAGGTCAATAATGCATATTGGTGAAAAATTGATTTTTGTCACAAAAAAAAAAATTAAATACCAGTGAATAAGGGTACGTGCAGCATGAAGCGTAGAAAATGCTGGTGATCACCTGATTTCATGGACATATTATAAAAGCTGATTTATATTTCATAAAATTTAAAAAAATTAAAGTTAAGTTTCGAGCTGAAATTAAAGTCATATTTGTCAAGGATATCACAAAACCTGAATACAATTTAACGGGCATGCCATTTAAAATGGCTATCGAAATCACGCTTAACATGAAATAAGTACATACTAATAGTATTTTTTTTCTACATCTTAAGATTCATTAGCAGAAGGTGTATGGAATCGTGTGTGGTCAGCGGAATCAGTATACCCGAGGGGGTCACCGTCCAAGCAGACGTTTGGTCAATTCATAGAGACCCAGACGTATGGGGAGATAACCCAGATACATTTGACCCAGAAAGGTGAGTATTTTGTTTACCAATGTGGCATACTTGTATTTATGTATATTATTTTTTCCATGTTGAGGGGCAGTCCTGGGTCTTGTATGCTATGTAGCATGTTTACGTGTGGGCGTTTCTTCTCAGCAACGACATTAGTTCTTTGTGATCTAATGGATTTTAAACGATCTGTCGAATGTTTTTTATTTTTACTGTAATACTTAATAAGCTCCATGGCTTAGGAAAATCGTGATATGAGAAAGAAACTGTCTATAGTGGCGGGACTGACGGTGCTAATACTAGTTTCACACCCAATTCACACTTCGACTAAATTACAACATTTTTCTTGCCCACTGATCCGTTTCTTGCCAAGTAACGATGTACATATTGATTGGTGTGTTTATAGCTGTCCTTAGAGGTTCATTGCCCTTTCTAAGTTCATTTATTGTACAAGTTGCAATTTTTTGGGTACGAAGAAAAAAATTGTGTAGAAGACACCTAGATATTTGGGACTTTGCTGTGGAAACGAACACTTGTGTGAGATATTTTACGTGCCGTGAAATAATCCACACATGTTCGCAGTCATTTCAAATTCTTGTATTTTTTTCGTTGCAGATTTAGCCTTGAAAACAAAGTCAACCGTCACCCTTTAGCATGGATACCGTTTGGGGCTGGACCCCGAAACTGTGTGGGCATGCGATTTGCTTTGATGGAAATGAAAATTACGCTAGTCAGAATGCTACAGAAGTACACAATCAATAAGAGTGTGAACACACCCGAGAAATTGACTCTAAGAGAAGGGGGCGCCATAGTACCGCTGGAACACATTGTGCTTTCGATGGAGAGGCGGAGAAGGATCCCCGCAACAGACTGAATTTATGGGAGAGAAACTACGAGAGAGTCTTAAGGCGGAGCTCTTAACAGTTCAATTTCTAACTTACACCAAAGGGTTTAGTGGCAGAGCATAATGCAAATTAAAGGACCGTCCGAAATAGACAAACAAACAAATTTAACAATCTGCTCATTAGAGAGAGGCGATTGTTAAGAAAGAGAGAGGATCAAGAACAAGAATTTGCCATGCTGTGTTCACGTGCACAAATAAGGTGAAAATCTGGATGAAGTGGTCTGTTCCGTCACAACAGACCATGAATTTTATGGGGGAGGGGGGAATTATTCAAAGCAGTATTGGACATATGTTACTGTTTTTCTTGACTGCATGCATTTATTCATTATCAGGTGCAAGAAAATGGTTGTTAAAATCAAAAACGTACACAACTTATGGATTGTGATACTTTCTGATTCATTAATCTTTTTTTTTTGTATATTTATTTATTGTAGAATTATATGCCAAAGATTTAATTATACGTGTGGATGTATTCGTATGCCTATATAGATGACGACGTTTGGCTCCTGCTTTTTGGGATAACTTAAAAAGTGGAAACGTTATCCTGGTCAGTATTAATCTTTCCCTGCTTTAGCTGACAGGGAAAAGCTTAGTGGATTACGACGTAAAAAAGCATGACCTTTGAATTAATGTTGAAATCTAACAGATAAATTATTTCCATTTTCATTTGCAAATATTTAACAGAAAAAAAAGAAGTTGTTAAATTGTCACCAAGTGGTTTGCGCCAAAGGACTCTTTGTGACTGACACTGCTAGTTATATTTATTCAAATTAACTGAACAGAAACGAATCTGCATCGAAAAATTAGACCAAAGCAATGAATCGATGAATGTTTCATACAAGGTTGGTCAAGAAATTATTAACTCTCTGGTTCTTGTCAATACGACAGTTTATTTTTTTAACTTTTTCCCCGATGTATGTTGATGCTAATTTGACCTACCTCATTACGACTACCAATGGGTTTGGTTATGAAAAAATCAAAAGAGTAATCCACTAATAAATTATCGTATTTATATGCGCTATTTATATATGTCATATTTATAGATGTTGAATTGGGTGCGTAGACATAGCATCAATGCAAATAAATGTATATTGAAGACAATGATATAAACGTGAACTTACGTATATGAGTGAAATTATTTCTGTATAATATAACATTTAGCGTGATGAACTGTACATCAACAAACAATTAATGATATTTTATTTGATGAATATATTTTTGTAATTTTGTAGTCTCTCGCCTGCATGTCATTTTCTGTTTGAAAGGTAGTGTGCATTACGCATTATATCAAAGTCCATGGTGCAAAATAAATGTATGTTTGCTATACGCCCCTAGTTGCCATTCAGTCACAGAATTTGGTTATAAGATAGATGAAGGTGAAGATGCACAAATATCCCAATTTTCCATAGCTGATTCATTTTACCTCAAGTTCTTGTAGGTTGTTTGTCCACATCCATGGGTCCTTTAGTTTTCCTTTTTAACTGCATATCGTGAAATGGGGTCTCGTTATAATTAAGCACAAATGTGTAAATGTTTTTGACTATGACATTTATATATAATATATTAACGTATATTAAAATGTATTGTTGAATAAATTACAACTCTATGAACAAGATCTGCAGTGTTTTGCTTTTACGGGTGTTACACTTAAACGTGGTTTCTTTTTTCCATTTTAACGTTTTTAAGACAGAACAAGTGAAAAAACCCGATGTGTGTTTTAAAATGACATCTGTATATTATCTATCAAAAAGACAGATCCAAGGCGTGGACCCATGGTAAAATCCAAGTCGCATTTTCTGTAATGTTAAATATATTTATTAAACATAAAACCGATTGAAAAATATCAACGAATGAACAGTTCTATCTATCAGGACGCCAATCGACGTTTCTTTTTGTGTCTGTTTATATCAATACTGTTGAGAGACAAGATCTTGAAAGAAAAAGATTTAAAAAACAGGGTACTGCCAATACACAGATACAAGGTACAAGATGCATTATTCAGTTAATTACAAATTAAATAAGGCTTAACTATTAACGGCAGTTTTAACGAAAGAAGAACTTGATTTGAAATTTTGAATCTGTGTGCATGATTATCATTCTACCCATTCATTTACAGGAGTTATTTAATAAATTTGAACCTTTAACAATAGTAAATTTTACACCAAAAACATCAATGCTACTGCACAATTTGACAGTACCCTGTTGAAATATTCTCGGTCTTTTTTCTCAAACAGATACAGACACAAATCCAGTAAACAAGACAGGTTGCTGGCGATGAAAACGAACCCATTAGTCGGCCTATAACGCCAATACAACCCACTTCAAGAGGTTGACTGAATACAAATAAAAATCAGATGCACTTTAGTGAAAACGCATGGTTTTTAATTCGATTTATATCTAATCTGTCGATTGAAGTTGAAAATAGTAGAAAGGATAAGTTACAGCTTTCAATATTAAAAATCGGAAACAGGTGTGTATTTTGGTCGTTAATTTGCGCGCTTCGGTGGTAAAAGGGCGGAGACCGTCTTGTTAATCGACGCTATCTGTGTAGTTTTAAGAGGAAATGTACGGTTTCACGCCCCGGGCAAAATAATGAAAAATAACGAGAAGAAGACAGACTGATATAATAAAAATGTGGCTGAAAGGAATATTTATCTGCTAGGAATTCAAAACTGAGCGTTTGTCCCGAAATGAGTTTCGCATTTGAATATTTATTGAAAGAAATTAAACGATATGAGCGAGTTGTTTGCCTGTTATGTTCGAATCTATCATTGCGACAGGTGATCTAGCGCAATCGTAGGCCTCAGGTGAAGTCAATCCATTGCATTTTAGAACTTAGAAGATATTAACTGGAAATAAATTACTGGTTTTACAGCCAATTTTTGGTTTGACTGACAGAAAATGATCAGTATAATAATTATAATAATAATAACTATAATAATAGTAATAATAACAAGTGAATAACTTGGCCATATTTTGTTTATTTGACATTAATACCGTTTCCTAGAATTAGGTTTATTAGAAACTATAACAAAACCATGCATATGAAATTTAAAAACAATCAAACAAACCATCGTATTAGTTTCCTTGTGACAGTTTCAATTTCTGATTCAGATATTCGATATTGGTTTCATTGTGATGATAGACAGTGCACTGGAATGTTTACCTAAACCCACGGCTGTAGAACGAGGTGCAACGTAAAGTATAGGTTAGATCGTGGCGCATTTATTAATATATTGTAATATTCAGTAGTTTCACAATGGTTGTATACAATAAATGTAGTACTGTTGTTAAAAAGAATAAAAATTAATTTTATCAAACAATCTGTCAGATCAGATACGTTTGCCTTTGTCTTGAGTATAGCATAAGGCCACAACTTCTCACCTGTAATGAGCAATACCTGTTGATATTTACATAACAATGAGTGGACCGTCCCAGTTTGAGCTGTCTTCCAGAATAGTCACTTGACAGTTGGGGACCGTGAAGAGAAGACGCAAGAATATGGGTGGCTTTCATCAGGCGTAGAATGAACCATATCTTGGTCCAGCTTTTATCAAGCGTAGGGGAAAATATATCTTGTAAGTATCATTATTCATACAAATAATTTCTGTCATTAGTTACCGAAGGAACGAAAAATGAAAAGGGTAACCGGGCCTACGTACGGCATTTATTTCAGACACGTGCCACTGCAACATTATGCTCAATTGTTATGTGTTACAGTTTGAGATTGAAAACATTCAGTGTATTTTGTGATCGTTTCAGTCATTTTAAAGAAGAAAAAACGTCATCAAATGTTTGAGAAACGTGTCTTGGCTCCATTATGTTTGTTATTATGTTGGTCTTAAAAGAATATATTGGTTCTGAAAAATTACGGTTAATGTTACAATTTCGGATTGGGAAGATACAGGAAAAACGGTACTTGTAGCTGACATTTGAGAAAAATCTCAGAATGCTTGCTATTCATTACGTTTTAAGAAACCGTATCAACATTGATAGACAATTGAAAGACCATTTATGCGAAGTGAAAATGTTTTCATATGTATTTCATAAGTAGGAACGCAGCCACGTTTACATATAGGCTACTGATTGTTATAACATCGTTGTGTTTCCGATCCATTGGCGTTTAAAGGCGTAAAAGCGTAAGTTTATAACCGAAGTAAGTTTCTCTGCTTGTTTCAGGTGAAACTTCGGCATGAAGGGCAAGTCTTTTTCGATGAATTCCTCAAAGATAAGTATGCTTCATGTATCTCAACACAAACATGCAAATTCGCAAGCACCCACTCCGGCGCGCACACACACACACACACAAAATGCTTGGAATAAAAGATGGACAGATATTTAACATAACCTCTCTTCCGTGTCAAGTGTGTCATTTACTGTTGAAACATTTAACCACTATCTACACATAATATTACATTTTATATTGAAAAAACTTAACTTGATCGTACTTGCGTCCAAATTATGTGAAACATATTCATTTGTTCATTCTAAAAGAACTGTGAATGGCATCATTGTCAGTCCTCGGTCCCCTCATACATGTATGGTCAGTCATTGCTCTGCTATGAAACAGTAAATCAAAATGGTTAGCAATGAGCTGTTATCCGACAAACATATAATGCATAGCCATTATATTATGAATAATCAGTTTCAATAGTAAGTGCACTAACTAAACGACCATTGCAATTTAATATTATTTATTTTAGATCATAATTTGACATGAGGTAAGTCCAGCCATTGCTTTTGCACGGTGCTTGCTGAGACTGAATTTTGGCAAGCCAACAGAGATGTAAGTGATTTCAATTGAGGGCATCCTTTCTTTTGTAATATATTATACATCAGTTATATTTAAGAGCATGTCTATTCATAGACAATAGACCAAACTTATTAAACGTTATACGTTTCTATGTTTCAGAAATTCCGCCTTCTTCGAGAAATTGCACATCATACGCCTGCAAGAAACTTGATCTTTTGGTTGTATTCGGGAACCCGACGCCTACTCACGCTCGTTGACCATCTGAATGAACTGAATAAATTATTTTCTCTGTGGTTTGTAATTTTAATGTGGCGTAGTAATATTAGATAACAATTACAATAAATAAAATGGGGAAACCTATGTTTATATAAAAATCTCCAAGCAATTTCAAAACCGGAGATGTAAATATGATCTTTACAGTGCCTGAATATTTTCAGCTTTGAAATTGTAATGGACCCTTGTAAACTATGTAAATGTTTAGGCTCGTTATATACTAAATTCTATTCAAGATTTTCAAATTTCAAAAACGTCTGGAGGCATGTTTTCAAAAGATAACCGCCAACCTATAAATTGTTCACAATCCACTTTACTTTGTAAGGATTATTAAATTTGGCTTTGCAATGGATTTGATTTGCAAAATATTCTCATGATGGTTTTGAACAGTCTTTAAAACAAACTGGCGTAAATCGTCTTCTGTGTGAACCCTTCATCTTCCTTGGCATCATTTTCCCTCGAATTTTACTGATATTGTTTGATCACAAAGTGGACAGTTTCTCGCTTTTGAACGTGCCAAACTAATTTGTTGAAATCCCGAGTTCAGTTATGTTCGTTGCAGAGTTTAAAGATCAATTTTGACGACTATTGAAATGCCCCCTTCCCCAATTAAGCCTGTTCAAATATGTTTGAGAATGTTTAGTTTTTCAAATTCTTATCTTCGGCAAAATGTTCCAATCAGTGAAAATCGACAGGATTTTTTAAAATTTTTCTTCATGCATTTGCATGGCCAGATTTTACCTTCCACCCCAGTCCCAGAGATGCAGTGAATAATCTCACTAACGTCAAATCTATTTCCATTCTTAATAAAGGTTTTGATAATTTTACAAATTTTGAATTCAATTTTATCGATTAGCTACCAATTTTTTTAAATAAAAGGTCTCTCTATAAGAAGTTGATATGCCTTGCTATACAAAACCATCCTATTATAATCTATATGAATATCATTCCTTTTTAAGTTTCATGTTGCCCTGACGTTCAGATTTCTCAACATTTTAATAAAAGTAAGCTCCATGCAATTCGTCGGTTTGCCTGATTTATTTGGTCTGACATTTATATAAGCCAATTGAGATCTGAAATGAAAAAGTAGAATGGTGCCGACTGGACAAGAAATAACACAAAGTAACTTCTATTGGATTTGAGAGATGTGAATAATTTTCCAAAGGAAGCCATTTACTTATGAAATATCAAAAGTAAAAAAAATTGACTAGTTTCAAATCGGCTGAAAAAAACTGTCTACTTACTTTAATGAGTTGTTTCATACTATTATAGGAACGCCTATGGCTTTTCCACTTGTAATTTTATTATGATTTTGTATGGTTGTATATGCTTTGGTTGCTTGTTGATGGTTTTGTGAAGTGACATTCAAATAATGTGAATTCGTGAAATCGTTGTGTACAAAATGCGAGAAGATTCAGAAAATAAACTGAATAAAATCAATACCTTTTTTATTAATGCTACACCCACCACAACTAAAATCACTTATCTCCCCTCAAATGGAATGGACGCTTCCCACCTGACAACCCTCGAATCAAATAGACTCTCCCTACTTGACACCCCTTAAAGTTAAATGGACTCGTCCCACCTGACACCCCTTGAAGTTAAATGGACTCGTCCTACCTGACACCCCTTGAAGTTAAATGGACTTGTCCTACCTGACACCTCTTGAAGTTAAATGGACTCGTCCCACCTGACACCCCCTATCTTAAAATTGACTCGTCCTACCTAACACCCCTTTAAGTTAAATGGACTCGTCTCACCTGGCACCCCTTAACTTAAATAGAATCGTCCCACCTGACACCCCTCTCATGAAATAGACTTGTCCCACCTGACACCCCTCGAATCAAATGGATTTGCCCTACCTGGCACCCCTTGAATCAAATTAACTCGTCCAACACCCCTCAAATGCACTCAACCAACCTGAATGGCCTCGGCCCAATCAACCGCAGTTAGCAAACGGACTTGCCCAAACCAACATCTCTTTAAAAAATGGACTCGACCCGTCTGTCACTACCAAATGAAAGGGGTCATCACCCATAGATTTTGGGTCAGGATGCTCATTCTAAATTCAAAATGGAACAACTTTTCAGATTTATTTATTCACCATAAATACATTTATTATTTATCATAATTACACAAAAAACATGTTTTACAAAAAGTTATATCTTTCTCAAAATGCTATGAAAAACAATTCTACATTTGCTACATACAACAAAAGTACTGGTAAGCCATTGCTGGTGTTAGTGCTCGACTGATTCCGCTCACTAAATTTCAATGATATGCAGTTTGCAAAAGCAAAATCGAGCACATTGATTGAGTCAACTTTTTATAGCTAGTGTACGTGCTAAACCCGTGAAAAGTTTCCGCCGGTATTAAAAGCAAACATACAAACAAAAAAGATATAATACACACAGAATTAGAATTGAAATGTCGAGTCAAATAGAAACTAAAAAAACATTGAAAAATACTTATATATAATAAATATGGCATGTAATTCATTTTGTGAACATTGCTTAGAAATGTAAAAAAAAAACAATCCGATTATTTCAACTTTTATTGTGGAATTTTAGACAATTTTTAAGTAATTTACGTCTGACACGTTTTGACCTAGTATTCGATGCAATAATGTTCGTAAATTCGAGCAAAGGGCTGGCTGGCTTCTTGGATATTTTACAGTATCTCGATGCGGGAGATGTCTGTTCTGGAAGAAGAAAATAACGTAAATGAGATAACGTCGTTCCAATGTGAATAAACATGGAAAAGCTCAAATTAAGACAGGCCCAACAGTGAAACTGAGAGAAATCTAATCAAAAATGGCATGTAGTTCAAGTAAAAAAAAAATTCAATCAATGTATTGTTGTGAAGTAAACCATTTTCTCTTACAAAGAAAACAAGATGAAAAGAATGGTTAGAAAATTCGACCAATGTTATACGTTATTCATGGTTTCGGAAAGTGATCATTAGAAAAGACCCTCTAAACGTTCCCACCGTAAGGTAGATATGATTACAATAGTGAACCAGCAAAAATAATTAGAGAGTCAATGAAGGATCCAAGGATAAAAAATTGACTCGCTTTGCTCAAGGTAAGACAAAAGGATAAAATATTGCTCAGTTTGACTTTAGGGTATTTTTGGAGGGAAAAGGAGAAGAAAGGGGTATCTCAAAAGGTAAAAGAGGGACGTGTCCTCCCCATGCTCGACTACCTGTATTCGCTATTGAACGTGCGTTTCAGTTTTCTCATGAAGAAAAAATCATATGCAATGAACGGTACATCGCAAAATAAGAAAATAAGAGACCACAGATTAAATCAGGCAGGTAATTTATGACTGTCGAAGAAACGTTACTTACATGATATTATTTCCAACACTAAATGAAAGCTCACAACTTGTTACTTCACCACACAAACCAAGCGTCTTCTCCTTACGGGGTCCAACTGTCAAGTGACTATTCAAGAAGAGATGTCGCACTGCCGTGAGCGACCTATTCTTATGCAAATTGCAACAGGAACGGGAATTGTTGCTAAAACCATTCTCACGAGAAACGGGGGAAAGGCGAATATATGTTGTATGTGATCTTATGGTTTTTATCACAAAAGTTAGTTTTTTCGTGAACTCTGGATTGGTATATGTAATTTTTTTAAAAATTACAAATTTGTTAAAACAAATCAATCAGAAATGCCTTGCGATCCTTCACAGCTGAATTCACAGAGACCTAATGCTGTATCCACTCAGTACTATCGGATGGTCATTGGTTTAGACAGATAGCACGCGCACCCGTCTATTGTTATGGTAATCGTAACTGCTTGGTTTATTCTAGGTAGAGGGATGTACTACCGTCACACCTGCTGAATTTGCATTGACCATTACGACAATTATTATCATCATCCCTTTTTCAAAGATCACCGAAATATATGTGAAAGAGAACTCAATATTGTACTTGCAAAAGTCAAATAGTGACCGCATATTGCGACTTCCTCAATCCAGGAATGCACGTAGCTTTGGTATGCCTAAAACGCATTATAGTCGTGGAATGCCTTAGGGCATTTAAACCATCATCAAATGCTGCTCGATTAATAAATGTTGTCCAGCCTCACAGACCTATAGCTGGACCTTTCTCAAGCAACTTAATGCAATCCTAATTTTCTTTCCGAAAAATATTACCGAAAATGGAGGTCACAATATACTGGAAACAGCAGTTGCATTGAAAGTCGAGAGTCGATTTTCCCTTGTCCCCTCGAACTAGGGGCGATAGGGGAACTTTGTTCTATTTCAATTATTTTTCCGTCATGTTTTACGAAAAGCCGAGGACAAAAAACACACAAAAAGGGAAACAATACTCTCGGCATTGTCTAATTATGTTTGTTCTTTTTATTTCTTACAGACAACGATTCTTCAGACTTGCTCCCAAGTCAAATATACTTACATTTGAAAAGCGTGTAGTAAAAACTACAAATACATAACAAGAGTTCTAGTCACTCGACCAGGAACCAAAGAGCAAAACTGCTGCAAATCGCGGGTACAACTCATCTGTTTTCCCTCAATGTTTTAGCCAATGTGCTCTGAATATCTGGTTAGAGCTACAGACTTCCAAGTTAGTCAAAATCACAAGAGAAGAAAATGTCTTTGAACTAAAAGCAAATCAAATCAGTTAATCTTATTACCAATCAGATAAATATCTAAATAATCTAATATTTAAAGAGGACGAGTGTAAATCGTATGTACCCTGTAGCACCCAACACATCATAAGTAAGGTTCTAAATGTTTCACTGCAAAACACTAAATCTGAACATAAAAACCTCTAGGATCCATGCATACTGCATACTATAATACACGTCAACATAAAAAATAAACAGCATTACAGAAGGCAACTAGTGTTCCAAAAATGAAGAGCTTCAATACAATATTCCATATAAGTTTCCTATTCAAGCACACTAAATGACTTCAGTAATAAAAATATATAATTTCAAAAAGGAGAAATTACACATTGTCTTTTTTCACAGCTCAATATCAATAAATGTCCGTAAGTATCTAGTAATTATACATATGCCAATTTTCATATCTTATAATCCCAATCTGTAGTGGTGTGATAAATTTTGAGTGGACATTGCATCCAAGACATTTCCACTTCTTTTCTTCTTTTTATTTTTAAAAATTGCAAAAAAAAAAGTCTAAATAACTTTAAAAGAAAACATACTTCAACTCAGTGAAAAGCTTATCACAAATATGTACCTCATTTATTGTTAAGTTTCTAAAATTACATTAGCTGTAAATGATATGTCTCTGCATTCTTTTTCATATAATATATATTAGTGCATGACTTTTTATACTTTCCACCTGTTCTCTAAATGAGATACGACTACAATATAAAAAACAAATCACTACACTGATGTTAATTCATTACTTCACAATATTATAGCACATCTGGAAAAGTTAACTATGAAACTGTAGAATGTCTTAACAGCAAAATGGTCATGGTTTGTTTTCAACCAAAATAAGTTCTTCACATAAATTTTTCGGTTACTGCTCATCATCAGACACTTGCCCTGTGTCAGCATTACGTGTCAACATGTAATTGTCCATGTCTATGGAGCGACAGTTATTGATGGCGTATCTCAGCCTGTCAGCCATGATCTCCTTGTTGGTGTATGGTGGAAGTCGCAGCTGGAAGAAGCAGGTCTGGGCTGTGGGAAGACTGTCCTGACCCTGCAGTGAGAATGTTGTGTGTTAGAGAATACATTACACTGGGAAAAAAGTGTTTTAGAGAAGAAAAAACTGAAATGGTTTGTTAAAGATGTCCTGTCTCCGTTTTTTTGTGATAAATAGAGTTTTTTAAAAGAAAAAAGCTATGTTCTCTCACTCAAAAATCATAGCTCAAACCTGTTCATTTTAGTTTCAATGAAATAATTTAGTTATAAAACTGGCTTGATGTTCAGATCAGTACGTTCCTATAGATTTCACTGTTTTTTTGTCATTTTCATGGTCTTGCACACTTACCCTGTCTATCCTCATAACCTGGAACCTCTGAGAGATATCAGCTGGGTTGGCAGGGAGCCGAGAGCGACCAGACACAAACCGCATGAACAGTATCCTCTCCTCATTGGTAAAGGACTCCAGGATCTCCCAGAACCACTTGATCAAATGATGGTGTTCATCCACCTCGCGATACCTAGAGCAGAATGGATGAAGAAAACATGTTGAATGACGCATATTTTCTTATTGAAGTAGACTAAAATTTGGGTCTTTTAAGATTTAAAACATTAAAAACAACTTCTGGTTTAAAAGATCTTTTGTGAAAGTGGTCCCTAATAATTGATAAATTCCCCCCTGACCACATGCTAGCGACATACCTGGCTACCTTCTTGAGGACATCCACAGAGACTTCTGGCATACCACATACCAACTGTTCTAGATGCTGTGATGTCAGCAAGGACAACAGAGGCACTGGCACAATCCAAGACATCCCCTCTCTCACTGCTGAAATCTGCAGATAGGATTGATTTATTGATTAAATTCTTCACAAGATCAAGGATGGTACAATATAAACTTAACAGCATCTATTTGTGAAAATCATAATTAATATATAATAATGAATAGGTCAACAAATAATAAAAACTATTATCTATGCCTTTAAATTATTTTAGCCAATAGTAACATGCATTCCATTTCATTCAGATATCTTCCCCAAGTGGTTACCACTGCCTTAAGGATCATTACACTACATCAGTGTATAACACATTTGAAATCAAATGGCCCTGCTCAGAATAAACCTGTGTTAAACCAGAAGCAATTCAAATGCCATCACCATTTGAACAGACAACATAGGGATCTCCTATTACAAATTAGCATACTAAGGAAATCTGTTTATCTGTACCCTTAGTTTCCGATCTGATGTGTGCCAGCTTCCTCCATGTCTTATCTCCACATCCATTGAAAAAGCAGGCACACATTAGGTCTGAAAACTAGGGTAGGTATCTGGCAACCTCAGTTAAGTCAATCTAGTTTAAGCCAATCCTGTTGTGAACAAGGTCAATTTAACAATATGTACCTGTAAGTCCATCTCATGCAGCCTGAAGTAGGTTGCTCTCTCCACATACTCCAGGCGGTTGCTGAAGGTGAGGGGAATGTTTCTGCCACCAGGAACAATGGGGACAAACCTCCCATCTGCACTCTGGCCCTCATAGCAATACAGGGGAATTACCTGGAAGTAGGTGACAGGGAGTGAATGAAATGACAAGAAGTTGGGTTGACAGGGTTTAGTGATAAAAAAAAAAAATAAAATTCCAATAACTCATCTTTAATATAGGCAAGTTTTCTTGTTTTGCAATATCAAACCGTGGTTTTACTTATTATTCAACAGAACAACATTAACTACATCGATCTTTGTACATCTACACTCAGTTAACAATTTTATTTGATAGATTTTTTTTCTAATTTAATTTCAGAGACCCTTTTTACAACCAAAAGGTCTTTGTTGGTAATTAACTACCTCATGAAAGGTCTCCTCTGTAACTCCAGACTCTGCTATGTCCCTTATCCCATGAAGTGTCTGTACACATAACAGGTCCACCTATAGAGTACAGGAAAACAGTATATATTAAGTCTTTGTATATTACCATGCATTGCAATCACTGACTGTATATGCAAGTGATAAGTTTAAAGAAAATAAATGCCATATGCCTTGAAACCCTTACTACATCATCTTCAAGCACTTTAATCTATTTTGTTATATTCTCTCTTAATGATCAACATTATTTCAAAAATAGAATCATTCAATGGAATCTGGGCTCAGGGTCGGTATGGTCACACTATGATACAATCATTCTTTTTTAAGATTCCTTACATAAAAATCTATTCTATGTTATCAGTAACACAATTGTGGATGACTGAAGACACCACTAGCCAGAATCCACTCACACTTTGCACTTATGTACATCAAATATACCTCACTGACTCATGGTGTACATGTAACAGTATATGCATAGTGTATATGTATCACATATTGCCCCACCTCTCCCAGATCCTCCACAGTGAGTGGCATGCCTGCCAGTGCCTTCCACACCATGGGGGCCAGGTGGAGATCCAGAGGTTTCTTGGTCCTGATGGCCACCCCCAGCAGTATCCCCAGGAACTTGAACATGGACAGGTACTCCTCTGAGGTCAGGGAGGGGTTCAGGAGGAACCTAAGACAATGACATAGGGAAAGTCAGTTTAAAGGAAAAGTATTTTCAAGAGGTAAGAGGAAAGACTAGTGCTTTGATGGGGGTTTTGAGAGTATTAGCAGAAAATCCAATCAAGAATGCAAAATAGTATGTATTTTTTCTTTTTTTTCAGCTAACAGGTTTACATTTAAAGAAAATATTGTTTAAGGTGTGCAAGGGTTAACCTCACAAGGTTTAACTACATTTTGACTACTATAAAAAAACCCATTCTGGGGATATGATACAGATCTATATATCTAAACTCAGAAACACCGTGATTACAGGCATCCTCATTAATAACTACAGTTTGTTGCTGCTTGGGCTTCCAAAACATAAAGAAACACTCAGATACTAAAATAATACAATTACTCACTTGTCATTGTTATATCCAGTATCATTGGCAGCATTTGGGGTTGGGATCAACAGAGGCACAGCTCCACTTTCAAGCTCCTGTAATCAAAATAACATACAGGAATGTGCAGGGCACAAAGTTGTTATTATTACTGCACTGTAACAGTTTAACAAAATGTTCACTTGGGATAAAAAAGGTAAATGTTTTCTAAATATGGTCATTGACCTATCATTGCACAAAAGACAAAGGAAAAACCAATTTCCCCAAAAAGTTTGCAGTCAGACTTGAACTTTTCAACACATTTCATGATCAGATAACAGTCTAGCAAATAAATAAATAAATAAATAAATAAATAAATAAATAAATAAATAATTACCTGGCACATCTCTGTGATGGTGTCATCAAACACCCCACCTGCATCATCTGCTCCCTCTCCAATCAGCTTCACTTTCCAGGCACGGGCTGGCAGACGCAGGTCGTCTGGCTTCAGCTTCACCACCTGGCGAGCTATCTGGACAAATATAGGTTTGCACTTCTTTCCTCTGAAATTGAAAATTTCATAATATTATGATTAAACTCTAGGTGAAGTATCTACATAATGTGAATTCCACATGAAGTGTCCTCATGTAACAGAAGATAGAGAGAGACAACATTATTTTTTTAATCATTTTTGTTCCCAAACTGCTATTGAAACATAAAAGATTCCATCTGGATTTGGCCTCTAATTTAAACCTGATATCAAAAAAAAAAAAATATATAATAATAATAATAATAATAATAATAATAATAACCACAACTTAATCTGAAATTACACTTTCTTAGTTTGATACAATGCACAATTCAGGCATTTGAAAGGAATGGTAGAACATTGAAAATAACGCACACATGAAAAATCATGATCTCTATGTTAAATAGTAGATCACTGAAAATAACGCACACATAAAAAATCATGATCTCTACCTTGTAGACAATCTTTTCACTGTGATCTGGGGTCCATAGTTCTTGCCTTGGACCATGGTCCTGCCTATAGCTCTCACCATAGGCAGGGTGTACACGCGGGGAGCCAGGATGGACCGCAAGCTGCCTTGGTGCAGACCATTCAGACCTGACATAAATCTATTTGTTCCAACCTGCAAGTTAAATATGTAATTTATTTAAAAATAAACTGAACAATGATGTGAATGTGTACTAACATATCATAAGTGCCACTGCCAAATGTATATATTTTTAACACTATTTTCAACCAACTTATCTTGGAATAATTGAGAATAATTCAGTTTTCAACCATTTTTACAAAGTTTTCTTGTTTAGTTTTTCATCACAGCTTTGTTTCATGAATTCTTTTTGTAGTACTACTCATTGCATTATAATTTTACATTGTGCACAGTGCTGAGAGGCAAGGGAAGAGTAATTGGGAAAAAAATAATATTTTATTATCATTACTTAATCTTAGACTTACAAAAGAATTAGAAAATATGTCAAAATGATTTTATCAACCATACATTTTCTATAATGTCCACATCTGAGCAAGCAGATATCACTGTAATTGTAACAAACCAATCAATGGAATGAATACGTAACCCTAGACATGACTCATTGAAGTGGACATCTTACCTGTGATGGTGACAGAGAAAAGAGCCTCCAAGAAGAGTAGACGAGATCAGAGAAATGGTGGAGCACCCTTAGTCTACCCTTGATGGCCTCAATGCTGCTCTCTTGCAGGGCTGTGTACTGTGGGGGAATGGAGCCTGGGTTACCCAGCTGAAGGGGGAGTGGCGCCCCTGGGGACCGGGACTGTGGTTGGGGAGTGGTCCATGCAGCACTGTGAGTTCTCCCTGCTGCAATCTACAGTGAAGAATACACAATTATGAATATCTATCATACTTAACCCGTTTAGAATTTCATTAATCAGTAATATTGAAATAAGTTTTCTCACAGATATCTACAAGTTGAATTTCCTTTTATCAATCTGATCAAAAATCAATTTCCCCTATAAAAATAAATTTACTTGTTAATTCTTTAATGAAGTACTTTACACAAAAGTGTGAGACAGTGATCAATCAATTTTCCATACCTGCTTAGCACCCTTCCCATTCATAGAAGGTGCCAAATGTGGCTCCCTGACAGATGTGGTGTGCCCTAGGCCTAACTGTCCATCACCATTACTGCCCCACCCCCAGACCACGCTCCTACTGGTCAGAGCCAGGGTATGCTCCGCCCCCACTGCAATGTCATCCACAAAGTATGGCGCTAAGGTGGGCACCTGTTGGGGTTTGTTGTGACTACGGCAACGGTTCTCGGGCTGTCCTATTAGACGGTCTGATGACAAAAGAATTTACCTTATTTAACTGTACATATAACATATACGGTGAATAGGTCAAAAAATGTTACGGTAAGATCAGTAAAAATAATTTTTCTAATCAGTAACCAGTGCAATTAAACAAAATTGTGTTGTTCAATAATGTATAAATGAAAATTTATAAAGAAATATTCTGAACAGTTCTTTCATTCTAAAATATATACCAAGCATTTGTGTTCATAGGGGGAGCAAGGGAAGAAGAAGAGAGAGTCAGTGTGGAGGGAGTGTTACCTTGTCCCCAGGTGAAAACTCTTCCATCTTTGGTAAGAGCCACAGAGAACTGGGTACCAGCTCCCAGTTTCTTCACACCCATGCCGTTCATGGCTTCAATCTTGGTGGGTGTGGACTTGGGTGCTGAGTTTCCCAGTCCCAGTTTGCCATAGTCTCCATCTCCAAATGCCCAGACTGTGTTTCCATCCACACTGCAACATAGTGTGTGGTTCAGTCCACAGGCAACCTGAGGGAGAAGTAGCCATTTTCATTCATGGCAGTAATATTTGGATAACTGCTGACCTAGCATTTATTTTAATTGATAATTTGCATTGTTGTAGCATCACCATCATCATTATCAGTATAATCATTGTTGGATATCTTAGACTAGCAATTGTACTTTTTTTTTATTTTACAGTGGCATGAAAAGAAGAAGATCATGGAGTTTTTGGATTATATCCCATGTTTGATTCTAATATTTTTTGTTAATTCTCTGGAAAATAATACTTCATAAATCAAACATAAACTTCCTTTTCACTATCATCAAAGACTGGACCAACTTAACACCATCTTGTTGTGTTATCCCAATGAATTTTGCATCTATTTTTTCAGGCACAAAAAATACATACATATCCAATCTGAAATCCTTTCAGAGCTGTCACTTTCTCAGGCAGTTTTTTATTTGCTGTTGTGCCCAGTCCTAGACGTCCATAGTCTCCATTACCAAATGTGAACAACTCTCCTTCTGCTGTTACCACAGCACTGTGTTTGAAGCCACAAGACACCTGAAAAAATTAAAAAAAGGTGTACATGTATTTTCTAAAATCATGTAAGTATTTAAAAACACGTATTCTGCCAATTTCCCCCATCCTTCTGAAATAAAGAAAGGAAATATGCATTTTCTACAAATTATCCTGTTATTAAAATCAAGTTAGAAAAAATATTAACAATGAAATAAAATCAGGCAGATCAAATATGTATAATAAACAATTTTTGTGAATTTATGTGGCCTTAATCATAATAACAGGTGTCAGTTAGTAAGAAATATATCTTAAAAATCGTTGCATAGCTATAAATAATCAAATATTTCGTCAAACCAATCAGAAAAGTTTCACTAAACATTCAGGATAATAATAAAACTTGGTGGACCATAACCCCAAAAATTCCTTTGAAATCATGAAAGAACATCAAAATATTATACCTGCACCACCTCCTCTCCTTGAAGAGCATCAATTTGACGAGGCCGTCTCTGACGATCTGTGTTCCCATGTCCCAGTTTCCCATAGTCTCCATCTCCCCAGCTAAAAACTTCCCCACTCTCTGAGAGGGCCATGCTGTGGCCATCTGAGCCCACTGATGAAGAGAGCTGTGTGATCACGAAGCCTTGAAGTGAGGAGACTATAGTCAGGGAGTGGAGGTCATCCGAGTTCCCCTGGCCCAAGCGGCCATAGCTGCCCTCTCCACACGCCATGACACTGCCATTGCTCTGGACTACAAACGTGCAGTTCTGACCACATACAATCTGAAAATTTACAAGAATATGGAGAGTTACAAAGTCACTTAAAAATATCTAGTAAAAATATACTTAATAGAGTGATATAATTTTAAAACATTTAGTAACAAATATACTTTAATTTCACACAAATAATGATATTCTGAATAAATTCCAGGGAGAAATTCCAAATGTTATATTACAAAGTCACATACTACTTCTTTTTCAATAATATCAATCTTAATCAAAAAGTTAAACTGATGAAAAAGTACACCACAGTAAATGAACTTTGTTAGGTCTACATTCAAAGAAAGCAGTATAATCATAGAGTAATCTTGCCTTATTTCTGTTAAAACAGGCAGCTTTAAAAACTGAACTAAAAAACTTTTTATCTGAAATTCACCTGCTGAGCACAAGAAAATGAAGGTGTATGTTGAGCTGTCAAAGTCCCCCTGCCGGCCTCCGCTAGCTGTCCATGGCGGCCACTGCCCCAGAGGTATGCCTCACACTTCCCACCAAGCTGCCAGTCCTCAGGCCGCTGGATTGCCCAGGCCATGATCTGACAGTCCATCTGGAGGTCCCACACATTGTTCTAGACAAGACAGGGGACAATAGTGAAATTATTACAAAAGTAAAAGAATTATCAGGCTATGCCCATTTTTCCTGCATTTCAGACCTATGAGTGACTACTACAGATAGTTTAAAGCAAAATGGCAACTTTTTTTCCACTTATTGAAGTACAAGAAATGCTCATATTTCCTGTTTATCTGCAGAATGATGTATCTTTTGGCAAAAAAGCAACAGGCCTCAATATTTTAGGTTTTTCTTATCCTACATTATCTCTGTTTTCTGTTGTTTATATCTAAATATTTCACATTCTTGTATGATGTAGGACAAATGAGTGAATCAAGCAATGGAGCTCATTCTTTTATTAACAACTGATTGACTTCTATAACTTATAATATAAAGCCTTAGGCATCTCAATGAAATCCTGTAGAACTCCCACCTCAGGTTTTTCATTCTCCTCCTCTGTCCTCCCCTGTGTATCTGGTACACCAAATGACTCTGGCATGTGGGTACGGCTGTACAGGGCCTCGGCTGCTCTCAGCGCTGTGGCAAAACTATGTAACCATTGCCACTCCATCATAGGCTTTGAGGCATCTGTAAGACATCAAATAATATGACACAGATTTTGATATATAAGAATTCCTCTTTTATTACTCCTATTATTATTATTACTGTTATTATTATTGCTGCTGCTGCAAAATACAAATAAATGCTGTGTATATCCCAGGTTGCTTGTAATCTAAAACAAACTGTATGTAGCTGATAATGGCCAGAAAATATATCTAAACAATTGGTTTATAACTACTTCTGTATTATGATAAGTTACATGGATCAAATGTTTTATAAAACCTAAATAAGACATACTTACCAGCTTTATCCATGTGATGAGGTGGACATGGCATGTGACACAACACTTTGTCCAGCTGAAGTCCAACGGACAGTGCGGCCAAACTCTGCAGGTACTTGCTGTGGACTAGCTGCTCACCACTGGTCACTTTGGGCTGGAAAATTAATTCATGACAGTTTCTTTTTCAGTAAATTGCAAGATATGCTGCAGTTATGTGCATGATTTTAAGGACACTGTGCCAGTCCTTGTCAAGAGAATCACTTTTGAAAGATTCCTAATTTCATATCATAAAAACATCTCTGACATCTATTAAATATTCTGAACCATTTGTGTTAATCAAACATTTTACCAAGCACTAGCTACTACTAGCTACATGTCACTGACCTTTTCATACATATATTGCTCTTGCAGTAGGAGAGGCAGTCTCTGAAGTAAACCCCGTACACATGGTGTTTGTGTAAAGTTGAGAAAACCTTGCAGCTTTAGAGCTTTTCTTGCTGCTCCCAGGACCCTGTACTTCTTCATAGTGTCAGAGCCATAATGGAGTATCATCACATCCTGTTATGAAAATATAACAATGAATTATAAATACTGAAAGATTCATATCTAATTATCTTTTCATTGTGACAATTAATTTCTTAAAATTATAGTATGTTTTGAATGAAATAAAATAAATAAAATGTTTTGACTTAAATACGTCTTTTTTTAAAATACATTACATACATTTTAATTTTTTTGACAATATCAAAGGAGCAGCACATATGCTGAAATTTTTACACACGCATGCTACTTTGCTAGCACTTTTTATGACTACCAAAGTAAAATACACTCTACTGAAATCAGATTACACCAATAAGAAACTGTGCACTATATCAAATCTCTTTATTCCAAATATATCAATATTATTTATAAATATATCAATATAATATATAGAGTAATCTTGCCTTATTTCTGTTAAAGCAGGCAGCCACACTGTGCTCAGCAAACCAACATATACTCTGTGTACTCCCAGAGTTGGTGTGAGTTTGAAGAAGGCACCCATCCTGAAATTTTAAATAGTTCATCTCAATATACATAAGTGATAATTAAAATCGAAGTTTATGCACGATAAAAATAAGATTCATCTTTTAAATCCTAATGCAGGAAAAAAGTGTAACTAAAGAGTGGTTTTAAAAGGCTTTCAAGAGTGCAATTTCACATATCACTTTTAACAGACTTCTATAATAATCCAACACCTTTTAATTTAAGACAAGAATCCCTTGTAGTTGTACATTTTAAATTAGCAGTGTCATCCAATAATTGTAATTTACAATAAGTGTTTTTAGCAGCAACTTATCATTACCATTATTACTATTTAAAAACAAACAAACAAACAAACAACTAAATAAATATGTTGCATGAACCCTGTAAGAAATACTGACCTGCAGAGACCATATGTTCATCCATCCCTTGACACAGCCAGTGGCCAGGGTCTGTGCATTGGGGCTGAAAGCCAGGGAGGAGACAGGGGAGCCATGCCCCTTGAGAGAGAAGATTAACTGAGACCCTGGCTCATCTGAGGTTAAGTTGAACTTACTGCTGCCCCTCCTCTCCATCCTGCCTGTGTTGTTTTGGTCGCTCCTTTCCATCCTGCCTGTGTTGTTTTGGTCCCTCCTCTCTATCCTTCCAGTGTTGTTTTGGTGCTGTACGAACAAATGAGCTCATTGAAAAATGACATTTTTGTAGTTGAAATAGGTAGAGACATACATGTATTTCTTTGTAAAATAACAAATTTAATACTATGATATAAGCTTTTTGTTGTCTCTTTTGTAGTGAAGGTAAAAAAGTTTATCAAGTGTAAAGATACTAAATGATTTTTTACAGTTTGCTTTTCTACCAACAAAGTCAATGTTTTACCAATCAGTGAATAAAAATCCAAGACACTGAACACATACAACAAAAGTAAGATTAACTACACCAAAAACACTGTGACCCAATTGTTCAGTCTGATAAACTAAGTGAATATGATATTAAAAGGATGGACACAAAGATGGTCAATCACCTGCACAGTGTCAGCAGCAGGTTGGATCTTCTCAGGCAATATGGCTGTGGCTCCAGGCTGAGGCAGTGTCCACACAGACACTTCTCCATTGGTGCAGCCACTGGAAATACACAGAGGGTGTGTGTCAATAAGTAGTGCATTTATGTATACTTGTGACCATGTTGCTAACACCTTTTACCAAAACAGAGTAAATAATCTTATATGCAAGTGCCTCAATGTTAAAACAATATAAATTTAACAACTTGTATTATCTCGGCAATGTTAACTTTTATATAAAATTTTTTTTTTTAACTTCAGCATCATAAGTAACATCAAATCAATTAACTACATGTACCAGATAAAACTGCAGATCAAACCCACCCCCTTATTTTTCAAACACAGAGTCTGACACAGTCCATTTTACCTTGCTAACATCAGCCTGGGTTCTTCCCCTCTCCCCAGCAGAGGGCACCACTCGAGCACAGTGACCCCCGCAGTGTGTGGAAGGGTGTGGACACACACCCACACCTCAGACATGTATGTCCACACCCTGAGGTTCTCCTCTGTGGCACAGCTAGCCAGGATACGCCCCGTGGGGTCCCACTGGATACATGAGATGGGGTGCTGGGGGAAAAGATGGACAGATTGTGTGTTAAAAATGGCAGCAATACAAATGTCTCATTATAATAATTATTTAATCTGTCTAATTCTTTTACTTGACATATAAATATAACAAAGACAATCTTGTGTCATTGCAAGGACTTCTGCTGCTCACTGATGGGTCACTCATCAGCTTACATGAACAATAATGTAATTTTTTTCCAGTAAATCACACAAGTCCAGGATAAAAAAATCATAGTAAATATATTATCTCGATGTCTAATAATCTCCAGAAACTGTTGTACTGCAAATATGACTGCTATGTATGTATTGGCTAATTTATGTACAACAATAGTGAAGAGTAATGAATAAGATATATTTAACTCTAATCCAAGCTTTACAGCATTTCTTTAAAATATCACAAATTTCTGTGTCATAAATAAAAATATAAGTGTATCACATTACTAATTTTAGTTTGTACCATCCATATATTCACCTCATGTGCCTCAATGGTATAAGGTTGTTCATAGTCATCTCTGTTGCTCATATAGATAGCACCATCAGAGAAAGCTACAGCAAACTTCTTATTCTCATCATGCCAAGCCAGAGCTGTCACAGATACTGAAAGAAAACAAAGGACATATATGCTTATCTATGAAAAACTTGTAACCTTTCAAAAAACAAGCTAAGATAATTAGATATTTAAAATGTACAAAAGGAATGCAAAACACATTAGTTTCCTTTATGCCAACAAAAAATTAAGGTGATTTCTGTGGATGACATAAACTATTATATTTTTGATTTAAAAAAAATGCAATGCACACATCTGAGAAATACCATATCTGCGTTTGAGCTTTCAAAACCAAAGTGATCTCCAAATGAATATTTTGTTTTAAAAAAATGCTTGTGACATACTCCACTTAACTAATCAGAACAAATATCTTACCATCTTTCCTAGATGCATGCACCAACTCCCTCCTGGATAAAGTAGAAGTGTCCATAATATCAATGACCGCCACTGACCCGTCCAGTCTTCCCACCAGTAGAGTGTCTGTACTGAGACCCATACAGCCCTCCCCAAGGCCACGGTTCTCTGGCCACGTCAGGGCAGTCACCCAGTGAGGTTGGATGTCCACTTGAGCAATACCTCCTGGAGCCATATTTAGCAAAGTAAATATACAGTGATGGATATTTTTTATTTTTCAAAAGAAAAATACGACATTGTGGATTATGTATATATACATATACATATGTTCATCCTAAAATGTCTCTTTGAACAATTATTTATTGTGTCTAAAATTTTAAAAACTTTAAATTTAGGTTGTAAATTTTCAATAAATTATTATCATAATTTTATTACCTTGCCTGCTGGCCTGAACTAAAATAAGGAAAAAAAAATCAAACTTAATAATTTTCAATACAAAGAAACTGACATCACAAAAGACAACACAACAAAACTTGATGCAATACAAGAACACAACTAAAAACAACATAACATAACATAACACAACTTGACACAAGGCAAGTCTCACCTCCTGTTGCCCAAATATTGACCACATTCTCCATGGCCCCAGCTAACAAACGTCCAGAGGAGCTCCAACAGACCTTGTCCAGTAACTGTCCATCTAGCTCTTCTCCAGACACAGACTCTCCTTTACTGAAGATGAACGTCTGCTGCAGGACATGGTGGGTCTTGTTCGGTAGACTCCACAGGCGAACTGTGCCATCATAACCACTGAAAAATTAACAGGTCCATGGAAAGTAGTGAACACAGAAAATAAAAACAATATAAACATAAAACAATTTATTGAGTAGAAAAAATCTGCTTCACAGTCAAAATAATTATTCTTGACATTAATCAAATTCTTTAGATAAGTTAATCCTGGAACAAACCACCCTCTAATAACTTACTAATGCACAAGTAAAACACCTATTGGACCAATAAAGTTACATTTGTCAAATCATATCATAGCCCTTATTTCCCTGATGAAGTCTGCAGTAGATGAAATATTGGCTGGTAATTTTTTTCTATAGCTATTGACAATTGAAACTTCATTGGGCCATTTAAAACACTAAGCTAATAAAACTGCTTAACAAAACATGAGTTTTTACAAATATATATATTGACCTTCACTCAGATAAGAAACCAGCATGTGAGCATATCATATATCCCATTTACCTTGTTGCCAGCAGTCCTTTCTTAGCATTCCATGTACAGTTGGTCACCCTATTCTGGTGTGCCTCAAGCCTAGATGTGGAGCATGCTGGCATATCTCCATGTAAATCCACCATGTTCACAGCACACATGGCCCTGTTCTGGGCAGCCAGTGTGTGGACCAACTGCTGGGCTGCCCACTGGCGATGCTGGGAGGGCAGTCTCGCAGAAAGCACACATGCTGCAAGGGCATTGGTCAGATGGAGGGGTCGTAATGATGGCATCAGTGGTGGGGTTGGAGTTTTGGGCACAGCACCTCCACTGGCAGAGAAATCTGGAATGTTGTGATTAAAAAAAAGTGCATGATTTTATTTTTGAGGAACGTTAAAAGCTTGTATTTATTTTGTATAATTACATAATGTGCTGATTCAAATCAGCTAAATGCATAACAAATTTAGTGTTTAAAACTATACATAAACAATACTGCTGTTTCAGGTTCCTCAAAAGATAAACATTTCAAAGTGAGAAGCTGGATTCACTGAAAGAATCTTCAAATCATTTCCTTTAATTTCATTATTCTAAATTTTACCTTTCAAGGAATCATCTGAAGAACTTGGGCTCATAGAGGCAGTGGTGGCATCACATTTGGCCAGCAAAGCTACCAAAGCCTGCACCACAGCAAAGCTGGGAGAAGTCAGGACCCTGCTTTCTGGCAGATTCTCTGGTCTCAAGTGGATAGGTAGCTTTCTCACAGACCTGGGGTCTGGAATGGTCCCCAGGTTCATGCCCATTGCTGCTGACATTAATTCCTAAATGGAGATTATAACATTTAAAAGTTGCAGTTGCATAATATTCTAATACAAGATAGATATACTGACATTTTCAACAAAATGATAATTTCAAAACTTCAAACAGCCATAAAGAAGAAAACGCATGTCAGAGAAATTAAGTCTTCATCTATAATACCCACAGTCCCATCTTAAGACTCCCTGAATAATTTCATATCATCTATCATAAAAATTCATATATTCTAAAGATGAACAATATAAAACTTTGTAAACTCTGGGTAATAGCTATAAAAGGACTTCTTCTAACTGCCGTCTTGTTCACAATGACAGCATCGTGATAAGTAATTGTCAGAGATGTTTTAATTAGAAAGGTCATTGGGCCCACGTCTTCAGTTCAAAAGAACTTTGCATCAGACGTTTGAGAGAATAAATCTCCCGTTTCCCTTTATGAAATGGTCTGCTTGTTGTAAAAGGTGGAATATTTCAATTCCTTCTCAAACCATTACACAACAGTCCAAGAGTCAAGAGTATGTCTATCATTAATCTAGAGGAGGTCTATTTGGACAGGCAACCATGGATTCCATGCTCTACATACCTTATTACAGAGCTGTACCAGCAACGATGAAGACTGGGGGTGGTCCTGTACCAAGGCACCAATGGCACCACTCAGGTACCCCAGGCTGGCAGCAGGACTGGTGGAACTGACAGCGGCACGGGATATGGAGCTGTAGCCTTCCCCTCCGGAAGAAATCACTGTCTCCTTCAGCGGAGTGCTCACTAGCTCCACTCTCCCCGCGGCACACAGACACATCAGTCGCACCACCAGGCGGATGTCTGCCAGACCCATGGCCTCAAGACCTGCTGATAAACTGCAGGCTGTGTCACTGGAAAAATGTTACACTTGTTACACTTATTTTCTTTTATTTTAATAATTGTTCTCAAAAATGAAGTATGAAATGATGAATCATGTAACAAATTGTCATGCTGTTATAAAAAAAAAAAAAAAAAAAAAAAAAAAAAAAAAACTACTGGCAACATGAAACTGTACATGACAAATTAATACACATTCTGCCATTAACAGCTTTATATGAAGTAACAGTTTATCAACTTGAAAATGATGATAAAAGTTATGTTTGAAACAAAATATTTATTCCATTTATACATTCTCAAAAAACTTTGCCTTACCTAACAGAGACCAGTGAAAGTGCCCTCATCACCATAGTTCTTGCTAACAGGACCTGTGCTGCCTTAGTAGTTCTGTACAGTGCTGTGATCCTGTCTGCCTTCTCTGTCAGCAACACTGCCTGCTCACCCAGGCTTTTTCTTTTGATGAAGTCATTCTTCTCCAATCTTGTGTCTAAAATGGATGATAAGCAATATTTCTGTATTTTTCAAGAATAGCCTTTCATATTGTATGGCTAAGTCTGGAAAGTCAACTAGCCTATGGGCTACTATACTTCAGTTCAAAGGAGTTATCACTTTGTTATCACTCAGTTATCACTTTATTATCACATATTACTACGTATGACAAAGACAACTATAGAGTTTATTCTCAGAAGCCTTGAGTGAGTAACAATAAAATAAAAACAATTATAGATCTCTAAAACTCACTGATAGAGGCCACAATGCTGTCTGCCTCCTCCTGTGCGAGAGCATTGATCCCCAGGGGGTCTGGCTCACTGAGAGACACACACTCTGGTATAGGCTTCCTCTCAGTTAGACCAAGGGAGCCCATGATGGACTCAAAGCTCTCTGTGCCTGCTGTGGCATGGTCCGTGTCATCAGGGATTAAGTCAAGATCATCTGGTTGACAAAATAAAAGTTACGTATCAATATGCATAGATTAGAGTTCTCAATTTGAAATTTGAGGACATAAAAATGATATCCTCTAATGGGGTAAAAACCAGTAATAATATAAATAATAATAATAATAATAATAATAATAATTTACTGGTGAATTTTACAAACCATGACCAAACATCTTCACACATACATGTAAGTAGTCCACTGACATATAACCCATCTGAACACACAATAATCCTGATGACAATTCTGTGCAAGCAAACTCTATGTCCCTTACCTTCCTGTACAGAATCTGGACCTACTAGATCAGGTGCCACCACCATTCCTCTGGTCCTGGGTACACCAGATCCCTTGGGGCCTGTTGGGGTACTGCCATCTAGCTGAGACAGGTACTTGTCTCTACAGCTGCAACACATGAGATAGTATGGGTTCCCAGATCCGCAGGTGCCACCAAACCAGCCATCCACATACACTCCATTACTGCGATAGCCCTGGTTTCCACAGGAACCTGTAACAGACATTACCTTATATTACATTCTATATCATATGCATATTTTGTACTAGGGTATCTAATATCAGCCCAGTTTTTGAAAATAAAAATCTACCTCTGCCTTCATTCCACATACAATGTGACTGAATATCTGAGATTTTTGATTATCTGTTACTTAAATATCAAGCAAAAATTTGAAAATCCTCTTTGGTAATACAAAAATGAATCAGAACCATTCCATTTTATACCTCCACAACCTGGATGAGTGGTCTTCATGTGTTTGTTAAAGTAAGTCACTTTGTTACCACACAACTCGCACATGGTGACCTCTGGTTCCTCAAAATCTGTGCGCTGAAACAAAAAGTGTGACTGTTTACTAATTCACTCCCCACCTCTGAGTTAGGCTTTTTATTTGTCATCTTTACTTTTAGGCCAAATATCTTACTTATCTTAATTCATCTTAAGGAACTTAAGTCAATAAAAATTTGAATACAATTGTTGCAAATACAAGATTACAAAATATAATCTACTGTTGGATTTTTTTCATGGTCTAAAATATGATCTTTAATTTTCCATGCATGCTGTAATGAAGAAATAACTAAATCACTAAGCTATTTTTAATTCTGAATGTTATATCTGCTGTAACCCAATATCTACATACATCCAGTAAACTGAGCATCTCTCTGTCTTCAGCATCCATGCCAAACAAATCCTCCATCATATCATCATCACTGATCACATCCTCCAGGTCTATCAGGTCGTCATACAGAGGGTGGCTCTCCCTTTCTTCCCTCTCAGCTCGCCTCTCCATCTCCATCTCACGGTCCCTCTCATCATCTCCCAAGCGACCCAACTCTCGAAACTCACGGGACAGAAGACCTAAAAATAAAGGGAAATGAAATGTAGGCTTAGTTCACTTACCTACATGCATTGGTTTTGCTGAATGTATAAGCCAACTTTCAGAGAATAAAATCATTCTGGATAAAGAGTTCCATCCCAAGAAAATATGGGATATAGGGGTGGGATTCTTACAAGCCTTATAAGAAACACCTTTAAAATGAGAACATTGTCATCTAAAATCTCTTACTTGCTCTACTGGTAAGAAAACTTCTGATATCTGAAAGAGATCTTTCCCCTGCGGGATGGCGGAGACGGGAAGGTGGCCGTGGTGCCAGCGTACCCTCTCGCTCTTCTCTGTCAATGAACTCAAAAAAGCCAGAAGATCTGGCTCCACTTTCTGAATTTTCCATTCTGAAATTTCAATAAATTAAATGTGTGAAATATTTTCAAAGTATTGAATATTTTTTTTAAATTGCTAAGGCAGAACAACTGAAACACAAAATATTTCGAAAGTATTTACTGCCAGCCACTCAATTGAAAGTATACATACAAAACATTAATGTAAAAGAACAGCATTATATATCGACTTTACCATAAAAAGAAACACAAACTTTAATCATGAAATAAGGGCAACCTACACATTACCTCATCAAAAAATAAGAAAATAAATAAATGAAACAGTTAAGTATACCGAATAAAAAAGAAAAAAAATTCAAAGATGATCTCTATCTACCTTTCCCTGTCTCTGTCTCTATCTCTATCTCTATCTCTATCTCCAGGATTGCTCCCTGACTGAGGCCTACTGGCTGCCTCAGTAGTGCCCTCTGGCCTGGAAGGTCTGCTTCTATTCTCCTCAGAAGCCTCAGCCTCTCCAGTCTCCATGGGGTGTTCCAGCATCCAAGTGGCCAGCATGTTAACACCATGGGCTGTCATCTCCCCACTGCTGCCTGGATACACAAAGACACAAAGCACATGGAAATCGAGGATATATATATATGCATTATAAATGTTCTGTCAGTGTTAAAACAAACAAACTAACAAACAAAAAAAACAACAACATTTTGGTTGTCCTTGTAAATCTGTTTATATCTACTATCTTTTATCCCTACACCCAACAGAATTCACTAGGGAACTAAAAAGATTTCAAAGACTTATTCCAGTCAACTCACTGTGTTACTGCGTAAGTGTTTTAAGGAGCACCAACATATTTATACATATACTTGAACGTTTTGTACTGTATTTAGTCTGCTGGTTACCTGTTGCAGCCAGGGCTTTCTGGATCTGCTTAACATTGAAGCCCATCTCCAGAAGAGGGGCTGCTATAGGAGGGGGTGGTGGGGATGGAGACCTGGCCCGTGTTGGCTGGGGTATAACTGAAATATATGATGATATCATTGCATCTTTAATATCTTCATTTTTCCAGTATCACACCAGAGTACCAAGTGAGTAGTGTTGATGCTATAGTAGCATACAATCATGATAAAAATGTAGATGAATTACACTTGGTTATCTACTTGTATCATGCATTAGATCACAGAACAAGAAGAAATACATCCCAAATTACATGAAAGAAGTGGAGAGTTCAAATTTCAATTTCTCTTTAATCACTGTTATACTTATTAAAGTATTTGATAATGTGTTACCAAAATAAACAGAATTTTAATGATTTGTAAACTTATTTTTTTCTCATCAATATCCACAATATTTTCATGATCCCATCAGGCAGGCAACAAAAAATATCCATTACAACTATAATGAAACAAACCCTACATTTTCGTCCTCCATTTCTGCGTGCTGATGGGGACAGAGAACTGTCCTCTGGGGAGTCTAATGGCGGAAACATGGACCTGCGTGACCTCTCAATACGTTGAAATATGGAGGAAGGAGGCAGTCTTCTGGGCATGTCCATTCTGCTAATACAATAAAAATGTCAATGTTTTAAGGGTTTACAGATGCTGCCAAGATGGTAAAAGTCCCTCTTAAACAAATGTATTTGTGCTTTAAATGTTTTCATATGAATTTGTCTTCTTGTCTTTGTTAATAGTAGGTCAGAAATACTTCACTTTAGAAACAAATTTAAACAGCATATAAATTTTTGTTTTAAAAAGAGTTTCATCCTAAGTATTTTGCTGTAATTTCTATTATTATTTTTCCACCAAGACATCGTAGCCTTACCGTGATTGTCCTCTGCGTGCCATAGGTGGTAACAGCCTCTGCAACAGTGCCTCGCGCATGTGGTGTCTCCCAATGTCTCGTGGTCGCATGTCTTCACACATCTCCAAGTGGGAGGGTCTGTTCTGGAAGTTCGGACCACTGCCTCTGTGGCTGCTCATGGAGTTTTCAGTGTTCTGTTGTACTGTGTTCTTTTTATTGTGCTCCTTCCTCAAAGCTGTTAACTGTTCTGTTGGTTATATGAAAATAAATTATAATTCTTAGAGGTAGGTACATATGTTTATTCAATATGCTGATTTGCTTTGTACATTTTCTATCCCACTACATCATGTAGTTTTTCAGAAAAAAGCTGGAAGCCCAATGAACAAAACAAAAATCTGCCTCACAAGTGAGAGTCCTTAAAAAACCAGGATGCATTTAATATATCCTCACCTTCTTTAGCCTTGAAAGCAGTCCCTTCTTTAGAAGCCTCAGTGACAGCCATTTTGAATAACATGACGTGTGCCCTTTCCAGCTCTGCCAAGCTCACCACACGTTTGATTGGTGAGGGACTCACTGCCAACTTCACCAATTGCCTCATGATATTCCTCAGAGTGTCCTTCATGCTGAACCCAGGTTCCTGGCTGGTGGAGGGCTGGGCATCATCTTGGTCTTTCATATCCTTGGACAAGTCTAATTTTGGCACAAGGAGCATTTCTGAATATCTGCTACAACTCAATATTGCACTTAATGTTTTGAGAGCACCAGAGTGCAGATAGACTGTCTGAAGTGCTCTCAGCTCTGAAGCTCCCATAGTCTGTGTATATTTCCCACTCACGACTGACCCTGCCTGGTCTGCTGGTTTGGGTTCTGCTGTGCTACTGTATCGTCAGGAGCCAAACTCTGTTCTGCCTCATTTTCATTCATGACCCCAGAGACCATCTGTGTAGCCAAAGTCTGGATAGTCTCCACATTTGATTCCACCTGAGAACATATCTGGTCCAACTGGCCCCTGATGTGTCTGGTAAGTTCTTTGGTTTCCCCACTAGATTCCAAATTCTGATCAGGACTAGATCTGTCCTGGGTGGCCTGTCTCTTGTCAGCATTATGATCCTCAGGGCTCTCATCTGCCAGCACCTGAGCTATGTCAGCATCCAGCTTTTTCTCCAAGCTCTTGTGAAGGCCTGAGTCCTCCTGATTTTTCTTCTTTCCATCCTCTGACTCCCCTTTAGCTTTCTTCAGTTCCAGAGCTATCCTGTCTTCTGTGATGGCACTAAGAGCCATGATATCCTGCACAAGGCTTGGGGTAAGACCAGAGAGCTTGCTCATGTCAAAGGTGGTGGACTCCCCAGCTTCCAGCTGACTGACAGGGGCATCGCTGGAAATACAATGGCATACAGCTTGCTTTGTATATACTTGTTTCAAATCATCTGAATAGATTATGCTTTAAATACAAATTTTTGAATTAAATATAACAAGCTGCTGCTGCTGCACATAAGATCTTCTTCACTGATGCCATTATCTTTTCCTTAAGAAATTTACCTTGTGCTTGCATCACTGTCATCCCACTGTATCTTCACATAGTCTGAGCCATCCTTGACCACTCCCAGTAGTGTCCCCTTCCTGGAGGTAGACTTGTGAATACAGCGTCCACCTACTCTCAGACCTCGGTCAGTGCCTCCAATAACAGCTAGAGCTGGCCACACCTGGATTATAATGTTCATTTGGTTTATATTACACAAAATACTTTTAAAATGATGAAACAACCCCTTATCTTTCAGAACCTTCTTTGAGCTTCAGATCTGATGTGTGACAGCTTTTTCTTTTTCAAAGTGACACAACTGTCCCTAAGTAATGCCTTATTGATATGGAAATATCAAATGAAGCTGGCAAACTTGCATGTGAATAAATTACTCTAACTACCAGAAACATTCAAATATACATTAACTTTATAAATACTAGAAGAGAGACAAATGTACCTCTTTACACAGAGCTTCCACTGCCATTTCCTGCTCCAAGTTGTCATCTGCAGCAGCTCCATCTTCTTGTCTCAGAGGCACATCTGGTGCTGGAGAACCTACAGGAACAACAAAACCAAACAGTACACAGCTTTATTGAAGGGAAAAACTACCTAATGGTGTTGCTCATCTTAATACTTTCTGCAACCGAAACATACTACACAGACTTTCCATTTTGAGTTGATTTTGGGATAATAAGTAAGAATATAATCACTCCAAAGCAAACATATATATTAATTGAGGACAACTTTGGTAAAGTAGTTCTATAGAAGTTGTCAAATTTTCAACTTCTTTTTCATTTTCTTTCTCAAGCATCTTTATAATTGCCTAACGGTCACAAAATAATAATAATAATAATAATAATTATAATTATAATAATAATAATAATAATAATAATAATAACACCTTTGAGAGAAGTCATAAAAACCTACCATCTTTTTCATTTTCTTTTTCCAGCATCTTAATGAGCTGTCTAATGATCTTCAGTCTGTCCAGCAGGCACAGGTTAATGGTGCTGCCCCATCCCTCCAGCAGGTGCAGCACACGCAGGAGATGCACTGTGGACTCTATGATCACCGCCATTGCTGGTGCACACATGGGGTCACCTGGCAACAGGTCACGTGGAGCACCCCTCACCTGCATGTCCGTGATCTTGACCTGGAGGATAAAGGTTGGTATGACTTTGATATTTTCCTATAAAATCTAACAGATATGTATTTATTGGTGTGTGTGTGTTTGTGTGTCTGTCTGTGCATGTGTATTGTGGTTCACTGATACATAAGCTTAAACTTGGTAACATGTTTTTTCTATATCAGTCTAGACATAAAAAAATTAACAATTCCTAGTAAGTAACTTTGTATTTCTTTATCTTTTTTATCTTAGAAATAAAGAAAACCAACAATAAATATTACCTTTTCACCAGGGTTACTGCTGTAAAACATAACACAGGGGAAGAGTTCACAGCCATCAATGTCCTCAAAGGCTATCTTTGGGTCCTGTAAGAGGTATAACATAACAGTATATACAACAATAGCTGACCAGTGCGCAATCAACACCCAAACATTATTTATAATAAGAAAAAGCTACAAGTACCATAATCTTGATCGCTCTTTTGTAATCTTTTTCTTTTTTTTTCTATCAGCACCTGTTCATTATTTATAATAAGAAAAAGCTACAGGAACCATAATTTTGACCTCTTTTTTTCTCAACTGACATGTATGAATATGCCAAATATCACCATAGACTTGACTACAGGGGTTACACACATTGTATCTTACATATCCCTATACATCATATATCAATACCCTACCTCTCCATTCTTCCCAAATGCCAGTGTCCTAGCATCCATATCCAGTATGCAGGTGATGTAATCCCCCTGAGTGAAGGAGGGCAGTGCCAGGGTCTGTTCCCCATTGTGGTAAATATTTCCACTATAGGCTCTGTACAGCCACATATCAGAGGTGGTACGGTGGCTGTAGTCCTGTACAGGCCACTTGGAGATCCCAACGCAGGTCCCTTCATTTCCCTTGTTTTCTTTTACAATCAGGAACTGGCATGAAGATAATATTGGCGTACAAAATTAATTACTTGTGAAAATATTAAAGTCATTTACACCTTTATTATTGTTTTAAAACTGAACTGAAAGACTGTATGCAAAATGTATCAATTTGAAAGCAAAATTGTCATCTTTTCCTTTTTAACGCAAATCAGATCCCCTTTCAACTTAAATTCTCTCCCATTTCTCATTGCTAATCTCATGCAAAACCAGAAAATGATCACCATTCAATTTTTCTTACTTTGATATGATGGACCTAGTGTGCGAGCTGAGTACCCACCTTCCACTGGTAACACCCTGAAGTAACTCCTGTAGTCCCCAAACCATATCCCCTCCCTCCAGCTCCATGGACTAAAGTATGACCATTCTCAACACTACAGTTCAAGCTTTTATCTGGGTCAAATAAAGCCTCTTGGGATGCCATCACTTCCTCCACTGCGCCACTCTTCAGTTTGGCAACAGAATCTTCTGAGCTGAAGAGTTCTAGCTGTTGGTCCATTTCTTTCTCTTTCTGGATAGTGTGTTGCTTGGCAACCACTGATGGAGTCAGCCACATATTCTGGGTTAAACTGTGGAACAGTTGGTTTACAACCTAAAATGAGAGAGTTTTCTGTTTATTGCATCTCCAGTAATATAATTTTCTTATCATTTTATTTTAACATGTATTCATCACATACAGTGGCAGAACGAAGCTGTCTTTTGGGTCTTCCGGAAGATGGTCAGAATTTTTCAAGTTTAATTTTTTCTGTTGGAAGACAGTCAAAAATGGAAGATAGATCAACAAAGATAATTTGGAAAACTGTCAGAAAATATCTCTGGATCCGCCCCATATATATATATATATATATATATATATATATATATAACATTAAATTGTTATACTAAATATCAAAGACTACCCATATTGTCAGAATCTCTGTTTACTTACATCTTTCATCTGCTCCATCTCTGTGTCTGTGTTAAATGCAGGTAAGACTGTTTCCAGCAGATGAAGGGCCAGCAGACGACACCTCAAATTACTGACTACTGGAACACCTGAGATGAGACACAACAACATATGAATTAATACCATGGTTCAACTTTCTCAAGAATTTAATTATTCAATCAATCATTGTGTGCAAATATCTAATTAAATGCTCATTCAAAATGACAGCATTTTACAATGTACACATTGAGTCCTATAGGTGTAAAACAGCCTGAGCACAGAAGAACAAAAAAGCTTTCAATGTGCAATCAAAACAGATTTAGTGTAATAACTCAGAACTTTCTAATTCATAAAACATTTTAATTAAATTGAAAATCTTACCTTCTTCAGTTTGACCAGCTATGCTCAACAGCACATTAATCCATTGTTTGGATGCAAAGTGAACCTGGGCAGATTTGGAGAGTGCCACTCGCCGAAGGAACACCAGAAAATCACCAAGGGCAGACTGAGACACCTTTATGTTGAACTCCACCATGCCATCAATTCCTGATATGCAAAACAGATGGCGTAGAATGTGCCAATTTCATATTATTATGAATCACTGTAAATGGAAGGACTCGCGTTTGATATCACTATACAAGATCATGAAATATAGAAAATTATCAAAGGTGAATACATTTTAGCTTCGATAAACTTTTCAGTATAATTTAAATTACATTTTATATCCTTAAGTTATAGTTATAAAATTGCTCTGAATGGCTGGCATTTCACAGCAAATATCTAACCAAACATTATCTCTGTGTCAGAAATTATTTATCTTCATGAGTATCAAAGTTATCCTCAATAATTTTTTTCTCTGCTTTACCTTTCTTCTCCTCTATCCTCTCCTGCTCTGCCTCTGTTGTCTGTGTTTCACCGTCTTGACCAGTGGCTCCACCTACTGGGGACTTCTCTGCCAGGAACTTCCCACATGCACAGTCCAACAGCTTCTGTAACTGCATGTGCAAGATGTCCACCAGGGCTTGGATGACACTGCTGCTTAACTTATAGGCATATGTCCTGAGAGGAAAAAAAAACACTGGCATGAACCTCTTGCCAAAGTAAAGTAGAGTATACCCTCTTGATAAAACACTGGTAAGGTGGACTTCAACATGAAAAGATGAACTACCTTAAAGGAATTACTGATATACCCATGGAATATATGGTATGTTTCTGATTTACAATTCAATACAAAAGTGATTACTTAGTTTTTATAATAAATCCTTAATGGTTATCTACTTACTCAACTAAAAAATACATTAAGTGAAATTGGATTACTACTTACCCTCCGGTAATTGCCAGTATCTGCAGTAGTCTTATACTGGCCACCTCTAGTACAATATCCAGCTGGGATTGTCCACTGTAAAGTATTGGCTGTAGTGGCCGGACGAAGGACAACAGTGAATTACAGAACTTGACTAACATCTGGGGCAAACCAGTGGACACAGCTAGTGATATGTCTATTGGCTGATATTTGACACTCAGGGCAAAGATTGTCACAAGTGTTAGCCGTTGTTGTGCTCCTTAAGTAAAAAAATATGAATTAGAAAAAGAAAAGTCAACTTGCAAAGTGTATTTTAAATTCAGTAAGTACATATGAATCAGCATCTGCTCCAAATTAAGCAAAATGACGCTTAATAAAATTCAAATGGATAGGTTTTTATCTTCAATTATACCCTTAATATACCCATTATCCCCTTATCAACGCACATTTTACAGCTGCATTTAGATGCAATAAAAGATACCTACCTTTGTTCACTCCTCCAATTTTTTCCTGCCTGTCTAGAGCTTCCACCAACAATTCATAAATTTTATGCACAGCAAACTGAATTTCTTGCTGACTCTGGGCCGGAGCTGCTCTAACTCCATCCTGAAATAATCACAAAATCACATTTCACAATAATTTCAAAATCAGAAGCTATAACTGATGTATGTACAGTTGATAACTATAAATCATTGTTGATTTCCTTGATTGGTTATTGACAGTTTCAAACTGTGTGCTGTGTGCTTGAAGAACAAAATACTGGATCTAGAGTTCTAAGCATGTAGAATTTGTCTAGTGGCTTTAGAACAATCCACTTTTGTCACAGAAAACTGACCATTTGCCATAACGGTCACTGACTGGGCTGAGAAATGTGAGCTTTTTTTCAAAAACAAATTCTGTCAATACCACGACAGTTACCTGATAATGATATATATGACAGTCATTGATGTGGTCACTGTTCATGACACCCAGATCAAAGCAGCCGGCCAGTATCTGGAGGTGGACAGAGGTCAGTAAGGAGGTGACGGTCATGACAGGGTGTGAGGCAGAGAAGCTGTCTGTGTTGCCACCACCACTCTCCTGTCTGACGTCCTTGTCTGGGGAAAGCATCTCCAGCATCTGGTTCAAAGCTTCCATGCGACACTGAAACAAATTTCATTGTCATAAGACTGAATTTTTCATGTCAGATATGTTTGTATTGTTTTCTTCTTCAGATAACATCTTTCACATTCTACTTTTACAAAAAAAATTCTGTTAAAATACTTAATACCCCACATGAATTATACGATTATGATTTAATCTTTTTAAGGGGGTAAAATTATCAATTTTCTGCATACATAATTTCAGAATCATTGAAATACATTTCACTTGTGGTACTATTACTGTGTAGAATAAAACTGTAAGGTAGCTGTAAGGTTTCTTTTCAATTTTGTTGCTGACACTCAATAACAATGTTCTAACATTAAAAATTTATGACTTAAAAAACAGTCTTTGTAAAATTCAAAATTAACCCATTGAAAAAAATGAGTCATTACCATATATTCTAGCTTTAAAAAAAATCACTCAATGTGTGACTTCACAACTCCATCATACCTCTGCTCTAACTTGCTGGTGTTCCATAGCCCTAGCAATAACCTGCGGTCTTGTGCTGGCTCCCAGCTCCTCTTCTACATTCCCAGAAATCATCTTCACACTCTCTGGCAGACCCTCATCCAATACAAACTGTGTCAACTCTTTCAGAACAGTCTTCAGGATGGTATGAGAGTCGGATTCTGGATGGTGGTGGGAGGTGAGGCGATCACGTCTCCAGCGTAATCTCTTCAGTGTTTCTTTGACAGCCTGTAGTGAGCCCATCTGTTGTACTCCTGACTGTTCCTTAAGATGATATACAATGACATGGATTTAATTTCAATAATTTGCTTTCAAAGCATCCAACATTCTTCCAATTTGCTAACCATTCATGACTTGCAGTTGTGTGACTGTTACACTTGAAACCTTGCTTTTATGACAATTCTGTGGAGATGCATACCAATATTCTACGCAATAACAAAAACTCTTACAACCTATGTTAAAACATCTATCCAAGAAAATAAACAAATTCCACCAAAGTAGATACAAATCATGATTTTGTAAAAATTCTTTGGAATTTGATGACAATCTCAAACTTAACTAATCAAAAACCACCATTAAAAATTATCTCCCAAGGAAAAACAAACAAGTTCCCAAAACAAGAGATGTAAATTCCGACAGTACATACAGTGTTGGTGTCAGACAATGTGGTCATCCGGTTGTGCTGCCACATTTGGCTCAGCTGTGGGTGACTGCCAGACCTGGCAATGGCCAGAGGGGAGCCAAGGTTACCTGACTCTTCATGCTCTGGTACTGAGGGGAACAAATCCTCCTCTGGAATAACAATATAACATACCACAACAAAATTAGTAGGAAATTCACACACATACTCCTCTGGAATAACAATAAGAGAGTTATTATAATAATGTTAATTTACCCAATTAAATACAATACATATACTTGGAAATTATTTCCCTGTTCCATGTACATAATTCAAAGAAGAATTGTATGTTGAAACTGGGTTGACAGATAAAGAATCTGCAGGTTTTGAGATACAGCAGAAGTTCATGGTATATCAAAATTAGCATTTTAAAGGGATTTTTTCCATTTCGCACAATCCAAATGGCTCAGAAATGGAGAGGCACATGTTTGATGGAGATTCTTGTATATCTTACCTGTAAGAGCAGTTTTTATTCCACAGAGCAACAAGGCACATCTTCTTATCACAGCCTTACAAACAGCCTCATAACTACTTGCTGCATCTAAAAATAATCAGAATGATGTACAATCAAGCCGAGTCCTAATAACAAAACCAAATTAACTTTAAAGCATGATGGGTGCAGTATTATTCAGCTTACAGAAATAGTTTATTAATTGTTTAAATTATTGAAAGGAAAAATACTATCTTCTAAGATACAATAATATAAACAAACTTGTATAAACGATTCAGTCTAGTACTTTAATAGAATTATTTCTATATTATTTATTAGACTTTGATCCAATAATACTCACCTAAAATATTCCCCTTTACTTTCTGCTTACTTTTCCTCTTCCAGTCATCTCTAACCGTTTGTGTGTCTGGTTCCTCAGTGTCTTCTCTTCCCTCTGGTTCTCTCTCCCTTTCTCTCAGTCTCTCTGGCTCCCTTTCGCGCATTCTCTCACGCCTGTCCTCAGCCCCCATGATTTCTCCAGCCAGCTCACGAAGTCTTTCTCTCATCTCCCTTCTCCTTCTTTCCCCTGCTATCTCATTACTATCAGGCTCTTCCCTCTCCTCATCCCTGCTCCTTTCCTCCTCTTCTCTGTTTTCCATAGAGTCCCTTGGCATTCCTCTTGTCTCTTCTTCTCTTTCCCCTTCATCAACAACAGGCTGACTCTGGGCCTCTCCAGGTTCTGGCTGGCTCGATTTAATGGCCATGAGTTTTTGGCGAACCTTGAACACCGCTTTGTAAATCTCTAGCATTTGCTTATTTGGGACAGTGCTGAAATTGATTGTTTACATAATATATATCTAATGATGATGCCAAAGCATGTACAATGATATCAATTATAACAACTTTTTGTATAATTCCAATATTATACAATGAAAACAATAGCTTCAGTCTATATTTTTCATAAGTGAACTACTTTAAATTTTGGCATATTGCTCGTCTCAACTGTAATTTTATCCTAACTTTGCTGATTTTCAATTAAATAACAACGGCAAAGACATACTTGGAAGAGGAAACAGTCTGATTCAGTAGATCAGTGTGTTTGAGGAAACAAGCCAAGGTATATCTGGATACTGTGGTAAGTAGTGGATCATCCTCTTCTTCTGTACAATCCCATTCTGAAAGGCATGGAAGAAAAAATGTACACTAACTTGTCATTTCTCTTCATTCATTTTTTTCTGTAAAACATTCCATTTGACACATGTACACCATTTTACTAGAAAAATTAAAGGACCAAAACTTACAAATTCTTACACAACAGACATTCAAGAGAGCTGGTAATCTTGAATCAAATTTTCACCAAACTGTACTCATAACAAACATATAACCTTCCTCACCTCTTGATCGAGCATACTCCAGCATTTGTTGACATATATCAGCGGCTGGCCCAGTGTTTTGGCCCTGTGCTATTTGTAAAAGAACTGGGATCTTTCCAGAAAGTGGTATCTGTACATCAGAGCTGCTGTCCTCTGAGTCCCCACAACCACTTATAGCAGAAGTGACAACACAATCCAGGACTTTGTCTAAAATACAATTATCAGCATTTAAGATGATTACTGTCATTATTTATCATAACCACAAGTCTGAGCAATTTTCATTTTGGATGCAGCATACAACTTTCACATCAAAATTAACAAATCATTGTTAATTAAAACTACAGCAGCAGTATTCTCAATTTTGAAATTCAAAAGTGCTACTTTCAAATGCAATTATTTTAGTTTTTTTCCTTAATTCTTTAATATTCCTCACCCAGTTCTTCAGCAGACATCTCCAGCCCATTACTGAGTAAGTGTGCCTGCAGCCAGCCAGCTGTCTCTTTCTCTTCACTGGACATTGGGGCCCCCATCAGCATGCCTCCAATACACCTCCCCACCAGCAGTGCACACGCCCTTTCCAGGTCCACCAGCCACACCCAGGACTGCACTGGAGGGGTCAGGGGCACAATAGAGGCATCTGCACTCTCAGGGGTAGCTGGGATA